CATGAGAAAGGCATTCACCTTAAGCCTGTGTGAAAAGAAATGAACACAGGATTATTTCCCTTGTGTTTGGATGAAGCTTATCTTTTTTTTCTTTTTTTTTTGTGGTACTGGGGCTTGAACTCAGGGCCTTCACCTTGAGCCACTCCACCAGCCCTATTTTTTGAAGGATTTTTTGAGATAGGGTCTCAAGAACTAATTTCTCAGTCTGACTTTGAGCAGCGATCCTCCTGATCTCTGCCTTCTAAGTAGCTAGGATCATAAGTGTGAGCCAGCTGGATGGAGCTGTCCTGTGACAAGGAAATGGCAAAAGCCACTTGTCTGCATTGAGATAATCTTGAGGAAAGGACATTGCAGAGCCACATACAATGTAAGGTCTTGGTTTTTTGTTATTATTTTGATTAAGAGAACACAGTTTAAAGGAATGCTAGATATTATCTAGTTGAACTCCAGCAAGTAGAAATAAACAGTGTAGATTTCACAAGAATGTGTTTGAAGCCCAGCTCTGCCAGTTACTAGTTTATTGTCTTAAAGCCGGGGAGGCCTCACAGAGGAGTTGTGCACAGTGAGTAGTTTGCCAGCGGAGCAAGGAGCAGGCGTTCCAGACAGAGGGTCTACTACCTTAGAAGAGGGAGGAATGCAAGGGAGAGGGCAGCTTCATGGAGGAAGAGTTTGAAAGGAGTGGGTTCAGTTGAATGAGGCTGGAGCTTGTAATGTAACAGGGGAAGGAGGAGAAATTCGGGAGGAAGGGTGACAATTATCATAACCCTGGAAGATGAAATTCCACTGCCTGGCACAAGCAGCAGGGTACCTCCTTTGCAAGTGTGAGGCCCTGAGTTCAAATCCTAGTCCCACCAAAACAAATCAACAAAAACCCTACAGAAAAGTTAAAAGACTGATACAATGAACAAACATAGAATCTTTATCTAGAACATGAAGAATGATTATCTATTTTACAGATGCGGAAACTAAAACAAAGAGAAAATAGGTAATTAGAGCAAGTCGTCCCCCTCAGATCTGGTCTGGCCTCGATTGTGGTTTAGTCTTAAAGGCTTATGGGCAGATCAGGTAATTTCTTTGAGACTGTTTTTTCATTATCAAGTTTCCATGCTGGTGTGAGGCTGGAATATGAGCAACAAGTGGGAGTACTCTATGAAGAGAAAGGCGCTGGGGCTCCAAAGGAATCCTGTTAAAAATTCAGGCTCCTGAGCCCCCTCCCACAGGCCCTGATTCAGTAGGTCAGAGGTAGGAGCACAGGAAGTCTCTTAAGCCCCATATAGGTAATTCTGATATACCAGTCAATCCCCAGACCATTCCTTGAGAAATAAATCACTTCTATAAAGAAACAGTTAGCAAACTTTAAAGACTATCAGGATCACCTGAAGAATTTACTAAACACAGATCAATGAGCCTACCCCAGAGTTTCTGACCTACTAGGGTTCAGATGGGGCTGGAGAATTTGCATTTCTAATAAGTTCCATGTCATACTAACTATGCTGACTAGGAACTCCACTTTGAGAACCTTTTGACAAAATACTATTGCCTATCTTGATAATCCAGAAAAACTTTTAGTTAATAAGAATATCTAAGAAATAATAAAATAGTGTTTAAAAAATAATGATCATTCACAAACTAAAATTGAATCCAACAATTATTTATTGAACACTTGTGTTGGCATTATTTTTTTATTTGTGGTACTAGGGTTTGAACTCAGGGCCTACAACCTGAGTTACTCCACCAGATCTTTTTTGTGATGCTTTTTTTCTAGATAGGGTCTCACAACTATTTGCCAGGGCTGGCTTTGAACCATGATCCTTTTGATCTCTGCTAGCACAAGCTGGCATTATCATATACAGTGAAGAAAAAAAAAATATCAGCATCAAAAAGAAATGTAGGGCTGGAGGTGTGGCTCAAGTGATAGAGCGCCTGCCTAGCAAGCACAAGGCCCTGACTTCAAACCCCAGTGTCTCCACCAAGGAAAAAAAAGAATACAAAAGCACAGGAGTAAAGAGGTGTTTGAATAATGGATTCCATGCCCACGTAAAGTGGTTAGCAGGAGGTTCTGCTGGTAGGTAGTGGCATTTGTCTTAGGTTTTGAAGGATGAATTCCCAGAGAACAAGACGGAAAAAAAAAAAGAGCATAAACAATGCACAGGAGTCCTATATTTGGATGCATTCCAGAGACCATAGGAGTTTGAAATTTAAGACAGAGCGGCTGGTGGCTCATGCCTATAATCTTAGCTACTTAGGAGGCAGCAATCAGGAGGATTGTGGTTTGAAGCCAGCCCAGGCAGCCCAGGATTTTGTGAACCCCTATCTCAAAAAATCCTTCACAAAAATAGAGCTGGTGGTGGAGTGGCTCAAGGTGTAGGCCCTGAGATCAAACTTCATACTGCAAAAAAAAAAAGAAAAAAGTTTAGAGAAGTGATCAGGAAAGAGATCCAAGAGAGATGTAGGATCCAGATGCTGGAGGGTCCAGGAGGCCAAGATACTCAAGCCAGTTGAGTCCCAGAGGAACCAAACAAAACTCTGAAACCTTCCATGAATCTCCAGTCCACCCAGTCCACAGTAATGCCCTAACACTCCCTAGAGTGTCAGGGATCTTACACATCCTGCCTTGATACTATTCTTGCCCCTGGCTCCATGTTCTCATAGACAAGTGAAACTGAAATGGAGTTTGAGTGCAAGAATTTGGTGGGCTCCATTCTGTGTGGGTTTTGAGTCTGGCCCCAGATTAGTCCTTGGGATAGGCCCTCTCCTCCACAGACAAAAGTTGAAGGAAACTTGCTCAACTTTAATGAGGGGAAGTGACTCACAGCTTAATACAGAAAAGGAAAAGACAGGCATTTTGTAGGTGAAAGGGCAAGAATGTTTTCATGTAAAATAAGAGGTCAGATTAGTGAGAATTATTGGAGTAGGGTGGAATAACAAACAGACCAAACAAGAAGAGAAAAAAATTAATAATTTGAATTTTTTTTTTTGAGACAGGTCTAATATGGCCTTGAACTCTAGATCCTCCTCCTCAGTCTTCTGAGTGCTGGGATTAGACTCCTCCACCCAATATTAATGTTTTATTTATTTATTTATTTTTCTTTTATTATTCATATGTGCATACAAGGCTTGGTTCATTTCTCCCCCCTGCACCCACCCCCTCCCTTACCACCCACTCCAGCCCCCTCCCTCTCCCCCCCACCCCCTCAATACCCAGCAGAAACTATTTTGCCCTTATCTCTAATTTTGTTGTAGAGAGAGTATAAGCAATAATAGGAAGGAACAAGGGGTTTTGCTGGTTGAGATAAGGATAGCTATACAGGGCATTGACTCACATTGATTTCCTGTGCGTGGGTGTTACCTTCTAGGTTAATTCTTTTTGATCTAACCTTTTCTCTAGTTCCTGGTCCCCTTTTCCTATTGGCCTCAGTTGCTTTAAGGTATCTGCTTTAGTTTCTCTGCATTAAGGGCAACAAATGCTAGCTTGTTTTAAACAAATATTAATGTTTTTATTAATATTTGTTTATTATTTTGTTTTTATTAATATTTTATTAATATTTGTTTTAAACAAATATTAATGTTTTAAATACTGAAGATGTCACCATAGGGAGAACAACTTCTTTGACCTTCCAAATACTTTATGGCTTAGCATTATATTTCATTTTGAACTATGTAGAAATAAGGTAATTTTTCTTGCTGAGGGCTTGCAGATATTAATTTTAGTCTCTCTTTCCCTCTCTCTCTCTCCCCCAGTGTTAAAGGGTCAAGGTCATTTGGATCCTTGGAGTTTGAAAATGATAGCCGGTACCTGTGTGCAAGACTTTGGTTGAGTCATTGAGGTGAATGCTTCAGAGGGCTTTCCACAGTTCAAACTCCATACCTTACAAACAGCTTGTCACCTGGACTCCAGCACTGTCTCTACTCTCCTTGATCCTTATTCTGGAGGCAGAGCGCCCACGGTGGGCCTGGCATCGGTTCCCTTCCCACCTCTCAACTGCCCCTCTAGTTTACCCTGCCTTCTCCGAGAGGCCGGGCCAGTGGCAACCTCACCTAGAGACCCCGGTCTGTGGTCAGTTAAGAAATCCGCGGAACCCCTTCTCTGGTCCCAGGCAGCTACACAACTGTTTGCTCAAGTAATCTGGCTCACGTCCCTACATTCTACACAAGGAAAAAAAAGGGGACTTAGATGTTGACGATTTAAGGTTTGTGTGTGTGTGTGTGTGTGTGTGTGGTGTACTGGGGTTTGAACTCAGGACCTACATCTTGAGTCACTTCACCAGCCCTTTTTTGTAATGGGTTGTTTCGAGATAGGGTCTCGGGAACTATTTTCCCGGGCTGGCTTCGAACCCCAATCCTGATCTCTGCCTCCTGAGTAGTTAAGATTACAGGCTGGTAATTACTGGTGAGCCACCAGTGTACAGCACGATTTTAGTTTTCTTAAAAAAAAAAAACCCATAACGTACAAACTATGGCCAATCCTGCATAAGCGTTGGCCACTATCATTGCTGAGTAATTTGCACAAAACAAAGTATTTTGAGGCCCTTTTTGGAAACTGCAATTCACCTTTAAATTAGAAATGTGTTTGACGAATTGACTTTCAAGTCCATAGAGCGGTAGAACCGAAGTCTCTGCGTGTCCATCTTGGGCTGTAATTTCACAAAACTGCAGGAGTTATTTGTTCGCTAAAAGAAACAGGCTACCCAGAGGCCACGGCTTCCGCTTTCCACGTGCTACCCAAGTTACAGTGAATCTGTCTCGCTTTCTCAAAACCCCACTGGCGATCAGAGCGCCAGGCACTTTCGCTGAGAACCCGGCCACCCCGCCCAGCCTGGGATCCCCTCCCCCGGGCACCTCTCCGCAGTGTCCCCCAGTACCACCGCAGTGTCCCTTGCCCGGTCAGGAGCCCCCCTCCCTCTAGGCGGGCCGGTGATGGGGGAGGTGCTGGCCCGAGGCCTCGGGTTGGGGCGACACTGAGCTTTGCCCGCGGGCTCCACGTCCACACCACGATCACGAGTTGAGACGGGGCCGAGGCGGGAGAGGCGGGGCCGGGCGGGGCGGCGCGGGTTTGTAGTCCGGCGCTTTCCGGCTCCTGGGCCCAAGTCCGTGCGCGCCTTGGTTGCGGAACCTTCTGCGGAAATCGTCTGTCCTCTTCGCCCCTTCGCTGCGGTCGGTCGGTGCGTGCGCGCTCAAGGGCTCCGGCGAGCCTGGCCCGGTCCTCCCAGAGCCCAGGTGTGGGGGTGGGGCTCCCCGCGAGGTTCTAAGCTGGCCGGGGGTGGTGGCCCGGGTCCGGGATGGGATGGGATCGGCTTCTGGGCCTGCGCCTGCCATCCTCGCTTTTGTTTGGAGGTTGCTTTCTGCCTGCCGCTAACGCGCGGGCCGTGGGGAAGATGCTTGAAGGGACAAATTACTTCAGCGGAAACGGTGTGGGGCGTTATTTTATGGGGTACACAGCAGAAATCATCTTAAGGCAGTATTTTATGGGCTACACGGTGGAAATTGTCTAAAAGCAGTATTTTACGGAGCTTCCGCCTTCAGGGCAGTTCACACTCATTTCTTGCAGAACTGGGACTTTGGGCTGAGCCGAAAGTGCTCCAAGGCTTGACCCTGTGATTCCCAGAGAAATGCTGTCTTATTTCAGCCGACCTACCTACCTACTTTTCCATCCTCTCCTCTCCCCTCTCCTTCTCCTATTTATTTATTTATTTATGCGATGCTGGGGATCCAACCCAGGGACCCATGGGAGGTAAGTGCTCTACCACTGAGCTACATTCCTAGCCCTGAGTCTTTGTCTTACCCTGGATTGTAACCAGTTTGACGTTTTTGTGAACAGATTTTGCCTTTCAAAAGGCAATTCTAAACATGACACCAGCTTCCCTTTGCTGGCAGAGCAGTGTGCACAGAGAAGTCCTGAAGCCTTACCTTGCCTGGGAGGTGTTTGCCCAGGGACGACTCACAGCTAGAGCATGGGAAGGCCACACTGAGCTGGACTGAATTTTTCTTTACTTTAAAATGAGCATTTGCTCATCTGGCATCTGGGAGTCTAATCCCAGGTGTTCTGAAATAAATTTCTCTTCCACAGGCTGCTTCTTCACCAGGAGGAATAATGGCGTCTGTTGCAGTTGATCCCCAACTGGTAGGATTTTTAAATAGCTATTTTCTTGACTCTTTTCTCTCCTTGTGTGTTTCGAAAAGCTAATGTCAGCCTGTCTTTGGTTGCAGACTGTCATGACAAGGGTGGCCAACCTGCCCTTGGTGAGCTCCACATATGACCTCGTGTCCTCGGCCTATGTCAGTACAAAGGATCAGTATCCCTACTTGAAGTCTGTCTGTGAGATGGCAGAGAAGGGTGTGAAGACCATGACTTCGGTGGCTGTGACAAGTGCTCTGCCCATCATCCAGAAACTAGAGCCACAAAGTGAGTTCAGATTTTCCCCTCAAGATTTAGTGCAAGGGATGGCCCTAAGTGCACATTGGTCACATGAAGGAGTCCCCAGCCCTTCCTGAGGCACAGACTGCCTTTACCTAAAGACTGTTGGTGACCTTCATTGTCACAGAAGGCCTGCTTCATAGTCATGGCAGATGTTTACAATATTTAGCGAGAAATTTCCCAAGATAACCCTGGGTTAGTAGCTGAGATCACCAAGGAAAGCATCCATGGAGTGAACTGAAGTAACTGACTTTCTTGGGACCATACAGTAGAAATCAACTTACTTATTTTATTAATTTTGTGGTGCTGGGGTTCAAACTCTAGTGTATGCTGAGAAAGCACTTTTCCACTGAGCTGCATCCCCAGCCCTTTTTTTTTTTTTTAATATTTTCTATTTAATTTTTGTTTTGTTTTTTGGTCGGACTGGGGTTTGAACTTAAGGCTTTTTGCTTGCAAAGCAGATGCTCACTGCTTGAGCCATACCTCCAGTCCATTTTGCTCTGGTTATTTTGGTCATGGGATCTAGAGAACTATTGCCCAGGCTGGCCTGGCACCACAATCCTCCCAATCTTAACCTCTAAAGTAACTAGGGTTTACAGGATGAGACATTGGCCCCCTGCTCCCAACTTGTATATTTTATCAAAATAAAAAATAGACACCCAGTGTATTGGCGCACTTGTAATCCCAGGCACATGAAAGTTTTAGGAGTACTGAAAATTTGAGGCCAGACTAAGCAACTTTGTTTGTAAATAAACAAATAAATTCAGTAAAACACTTGCCTAGCATGTGGGAGATCCTGGGTTCAATCCCCAGCATGCAAAAAGAAGAAAGAAATCTCCTGTATTTACTTACAGTTCTTATTTCCCCCATCTTTCCCTAGGCAATTACATTTGCTTATTTTGGACATTTTATACAAGCATAAGTAAAATATGTGGTCTTTTGTGACTGGCTTCTTTCACTTAGCATAATGTTTTGTAGATTCATCCTCATTGTAACATTATATCAATACTTTGTCCCTTTTTATTGTGGAATATTACTACATTGTGTAGATAAACCATATTTTATTCATTCATCAGTGGGTGGACACTTGGGTTGCCTCTGTTTTTGGGGGGTGATGAGTAATGAGTCTGTGACATTTGTGTACAACATGGCTGCACCATTTTACATTCCCAGTGTTCCAATTTCTCCACAACATGCATGAACTGCTTTTGAATAAGGATTTATATCATTCCCCTAAATGGTTAAGTCAGGGGCTTCTGCGATTATAAGGAACCTTTAAAGACCAGCTATTCCACTAGTGCTAATTCTCAAGTGAATTTGGTGTGAATTCTTGGCTAGCTCTTCCTTAGGAGGAAGATTAGACTAGAGTAAGCCTCATGAAGGAGATCCACAGTGGTGTTTCCTACTGAGAACCCAAAATGTTCTGCTATGTACTGACTGTACTGCTGTGTACTGAATTAAATACATGAATTAAGCAGGGATTAAGCTAGAAGGAAGTGCTACTTTTGAGAGTTTTCAGATACCTTATTCTCCAAATTAGGGAAGCCTGCTTATTACTCTTGGCATTAACATGAATAGTCAGTTGATGAGGAAAAGTCTTTTTAGCCAACTTCCTACCTGGCCTCTGCTACTTCTCCCTCCTCATACCCCCTGTTTCCCTGGCAGTGGAAGTAAGCTGCCAGCAACATGCCAAGTCTATCTGAACTGGAAAAACCAGGCAGTGCTTCTAATAAGGCTTAAGCAATAAGTTAAATTCATATGGGATCATTCTGTACCCGTGGTATTACATGAACGTTTTCCCATCTGTGAATCTTGCAGTTGCTGCTGCCAACACTTATGCCTGTAAGGGACTGGACAGGATCGAGGAGAGACTGCCAATTCTGAATCAGCCAACAACCCAGGTGAGCTTGGGATAAAAGTGGTGGGGCTTGCCACTTGGCATGTTTACATGTTTTATTTAGTACAGGCTGTGTGTGCCACAAATGCACAAATAGATATTTGTTTCCTTAACTGGTTCTGGATGTATTTTTGAAAGTTAGGCCACTCCCTTACTTCCTGAACTGCTGTGGTTGTGTCTACAAAACAGAGAAGAAGTAGCCACCTTTAGCTAGAATACTTTTAGTCTGATGTCTATCATTTTGTGACTTTGTCCCTGCTGATGAAATTGGTTTCTCAGGTAAGTGATTCTCAGCCAGGTGCAGTGGTACATGCCTGTAAATTCCAGTTACTGAGGAGGACTGAGCGCTTGAGGCCAGCCTGTGCTACAAGGACTGTTTTGACCTTGTTTCAAAACAAAATAGAAAAGGCTGGCATTACTTAATGGTATTACTTAATGGCATTACTTGCCTAATATGAGTGAAGCACTGGGCTCAATCCCCAGTACTGCAAAAAAACAAAAACAGAAAAGAAAACTGATTTCCCATGTGGTATCAGATACACACAGAAGTGGTATTTGGCAGGTTTTCTCACTTAGTCTGGTGCAGGGCTGATAAGGGAGTACCATGCATACTGGCAGGCAGTCAGGGTTGACAGAAATGATAGCTTTATCCATCCCGGTGATCCCTTTGTTTCAGATAAAGTCCTGAAATTTTCTTTAAGGTTAACACTATAGCATGGCACAAAGTGACAAAGTGAGGAGGAAAGCTGGCTCTGTCTTTCATGGTTTAATAAGTTTAGTTTACAACCTTTAGAATGCTTGTGTGCATCTCTTTAAAAGTTTTGCTTCACTTATGTTGCTTGAGACTAGTCTAATGGTAGGAGTTATTTTCCATTTTGGATATTTTGTTTAAAGTTTGGTGATTTGTATAAGAATTTTAAAAGTCAACTTACCTTATTAAAATAAGAAAAAAGGACTGGACATGTGACTCAAGTGGTAGAGCACTTGCCTTACAAGAACAAATTGCTGAGCTCAAATCCCAGTACTGCCAAAAAAAAAAAAATTAAAATAAGCAAAGAAAGGATAGGTTATTGAAAGACAAAAGCTTTAGTAAAGACCTTACTTCTTAGGAAAGAGAAGCTTTTCTGAGACTCATTATGTAGCCAAGTCTGAACTCAAAACCATTTTTTCTTCCCTTTTGATATTGGGCATGCTAGGCAAATGCTGTATGACCTGAAAAGTGAATTGCAAGAATACTTGTAGAATTCTGGCTATATGGTTAAGTTGGAAGAAACAAAATTCTGTTCCCCCGCCCCGCCCCCCGCTCCAGTACTGGGGATCAAACCCAGGAGCAGAACATTCTAGATTCTAGGCACACATTCTGTCTACCACTGAGCTTCAGTCCAAGCCCTTAAATGCATTTTTTACTTTAGGATATTTTCTACTGATGATGGAATTTTTAAGACAACTCCTGTATAAGTCAAGGAATATCTGTATTAAATACACAATAGACTATATGTGCTAATTTAAGGGATGTCAGATCTAACTGGGCATGGTCGTGCACACTTGTAGTCCTAGCTACTTAGGAGAATGAAGCAGGAGTATCCCCTGAACTGAAGAATTCAAGACCAGCCTGGGCAACAGTGAGACTCTGACTCTTAAAAAAAAAAAATTAAGTCAGATTTGGAATTTCATTTCTTTCCTCTTTTGTGTTAGGAAGAATTTCTATCCAAAATGAGCATGAGCTCCTAGTCCAATAAGTAGCTCACCCAGGCTAGCTCCAACTTGAAATCCTCCTGCCTCGAGTTTCCCAAGTGCTTGTGCCATCATGCATGGCTTACCTTTTTAACCCTGTCACACAATAAAAGATAATTCAGGCCAGGTGTGGTGGCTCATGCCTGTCATCCTAGCTACTTAGGAGGCAGAAATCAGGAGGATCAAGATTCTAGGCCAGCCCCAGCAAATAGTTCATGAGACCCTATCTCAAAAATACCCAATACCAAAAAAGGGTTGGCAGAGTAGCTCAAGTGCTAGAGTGTCTGCCTAGCAAACTTGAAGACCCCAGTACTTGCAAAAAAAAAAAAATCAAATGTAATCAGATTTATAAATTAAGTTGTTTATCTTAAAGCCAGGCATTGTAGTGCACATGTGTAATCCTGGCTTCAAAGAAGGACTGAGAAAAGTTGGGAAAAGTCAGTTTGAGCCTATCTCAAAAAACAAAATACAAAAGAAGGCTAGGGAAGCTATTTTCTTTCTCTTTGTTTGGCTGTACTGGGGTTTGAACTCTGGATCTCCTGCTTGCTAGGCAGGAGCTCTACCACTTGAGCCATGTCCCCCATGTCCCTTGCTCAAAGGTATTTTTTCCTGTATTAAAAGTGACACTGTAAGAAAAACACACACACACACACACACAGAGTGACACTGGACTAAGTCAGGATCTAGGTTTTCAGTCTACCCTTCACGTGTGATACTGGACAAATCATCACTTTATGAAGTGGCTTTTGAAACTACCTTCTGCCGGGAGCTGGTGGCTCATGCCTGTAATCCTAGCTACTCAGAGGCAAAGATCAGGAGGATTGTGATTCGAAGCCAGCTCAGGCAAATAGTTTGTGAGATCCTTCTCAAACTATACCAAAACAGGGCTGGCGAGTAACTCAAGTGGTAGAGCGCCTGCCTAGCAAGCTTGAGGCCCTGAGTTCAAACCCCAGTAATTCCAAAAAAGAAACCTACCTTCTGTGCCTCAGAGGCCTAGAGGAAATCTTTCATGGCCCCTTTCTCCCCACCCCCCAACATAGAAAGAAGAGCCATGCATTAGTTCAGTTGGACTCAGAGCCTAGACCACTCTGTCCCAGTCAGCTTCTCCTTTGTTTCCCTTCTAGCAACTTAGAACTCACTAATAGTTGGTTTATTTCTTTAGTATCATCCTCAGTTGGAAAATACTTATATAGTATTTGATCAGAACTGAAGCCAATCAAGTCTGCAGAGCTATAATTTTGTTGTTGTTCAGGAAGAAAAGGAGAGTCCCCTGTACCAGTCTGTACCTTCTTTATGCTTAAACAAAGAAGGAAGGCAAGTAGCCTTTTTCATAGGCTACCTTTGGGTGCTGTGACTGGAGCTTGGGCAGGCTGGTTTGGAGAGTTCTACATGAGACAGCTATCTGAGAGCACTTCAGTAGGATGGAGAGCTAGCAGCTTTGTCTGTGTGTTGGCTTTCTGGAGCCATGTGCCAAGGGCAGGGTGTGCATGGTTCATACGTGAATGTTCTTAGACAGACATAGCTGTCTTAGCATGCCATTCTTCTCGGAGTACTCCTTGTGTGTCCACTAAGTTTCATCTAGTTTAACTTAGGTTGAGAAATTGACAAATTGCATGTCTGTTTATCTCATCTGCACCTCTAATGAGCCTTGAGGAGTGGCAGGTGGAGCAAATAGATAAGGAATTCAGGTTCATTGAATTTTAGTGACTTGCCTAAGACTAGAGGTAGAGATGAAAGAACCAGATTCCTTCCTTACCTGTGCAGACTTTGTAAGACCATACCTGTAAGAAACATGTTTCTTGTAAACCAGTTGATCTGCTTTTCTACTTGTAGGTTGTTGCCAATGCTAAAGGTGTTGTGACAGGGGCAAAAGATGCTGTGACAACTACTGTGACTGGAGCCAAGGATTCAGTAGCCAGCACCATCACGGGGGTGATGGACAAGACTAAAGGAGCAGTGACTGGCAGTGTGGAGAAGACCAAGTCTGTGATCAATGGCAGCATTAACACAGTTTTGGGAAGTCGCATGGTGCAGCTTATGAGCAGTGGAGTAGAAAATGCACTCACAAAATCAGAGCTGCTGGTGGACCAGTACCTGCCTCTCACTCAGGAAGAACTAGGTAATAGAATTTTATCTTGAAATAATGTTTTATGTCTCAAGCTACTCTTTTAATACAGCATTATTGAGAGACTTCCTGTACCAAAAAATTCACCTGCTTTCAGTCTACATTTACAGAGTTGCACAGCAATCACCACAATCCAGTTTTAGAGCCCTCCTGCCTGTTTGCAGTTAATCTTCATTTCCTTCCCCAGGCAAAAGCTAATCTTTCTGTCTATAGATTTTCCTTCTTAGAGCAGTCTTAAGTTTCAGATTGAATTAGTGTCAAAAAAAAATATGTTTTGAAGGTGGCTTGTTTGTTTTTAGCGGGCTGCTTTACAGAACCATTAAATGGTATCCCTGAATCATCACTAGTGCCTGTTGTGTGACGGGCACTGTGTTGCTGAAGAGGTTCACGCTAGTGGGGAGAAGAATGAGTAGGTGCATGTAATGTGTATCAGATTCAATAACATTTAGGGTGCTCAAGCCCAGCAGCAGATTCGCAGTTCTGAGAGTGTGGGTAGAATGCATGAAGTGAAAACCCAGGTAGAGGCCACTTACCTGGCCTCTTATCACTTACTTACAGCTGTGATCTGTTAAGTTTTGTTGTCCCTTCTTTTCAGAAAAAGAAACAAAAAAAGTTGAAGGGTTTGATGTGGTTCAGAAGCCAAGTTATTATATTAGACTGGGCTCCCTGTCTACCAAGCTTCGCTCACGTGCCTACGAGCAGGCTGTCAGCAAGGTTAAAGATGCTAAGCAAAAAAGCCAAGAGACTATTTCTCAGCTCCATTCTACTGTTCACTTGGTGAGTTAAAAAACAAACTTCAATTTTAAGGTATCTGTATCTGAAGTAAGTTTATCTTGAGGGAGGAGAGTAAATGCTGTCATGAAGTCCAAGAATTGCAATCTTGCTTAGTGAATAGCCCAATAGAAAAATGGACAGTGTATAGACAATTCACAGAAAAGGAAGTATAAATGCTGAAAATATGAAGCGATACTAATTTGACTCTGAGGTGTGAAACATCTGTCTCTCCTTCTTACGTGAGCAGAATTCAAAGCTATTGGCCCTGATGTAGAGAAAGCAGTGCTTATCCATTTCTGGAAGACTCAAGGGCCTGTTCTAGAAATGCTATAAACACATCTATACCTTGAATGATTTTACTAGTTAAATTAATCACAATAGACCATTGTGTAACCATTAACATTGCCAAACTGTAGAACATTATGTACTGTACTTGGAAAAGGAAATAGGTGCCTGGCAACAAGAAAGAGGAAGGTTGCATTTTGTCTATTTTTATGATTCTAACTTAAGTTTTTACCTGTGTTAAACTGGAGGTAATTTGGGAGTTAGTAGTTTAATAGAGGCAGTAAAGAGCTACTACTTTCACATATTGATAATAATATCATTTACATTTATTGATACACTTGCACATATCAATAATAGCAAAGATAGCAAGGATAGCTTTCATTGTACTTAAAGAAATTCTTGGCTCCTGTCTTTGTTGCTTATTTTTCATTAGCTATAAACAGGCTAATATGAATGACTATGTTCCCTTGTGTTATTTCATTGTATTCTAGATTGAATTTGCCAGGAAGAATGTGCATAGTGCCAACCAGAAAATTCAGGATGCTCAGGGTAAGCTCTACGTCTCGTGGGTGGAGTGGAAGAGAAGCATCGGCCATGATGAAAGTGATGAATCCCATTGTGTTGAGGTAAGATGACTAGCATAGTCATTCATCACAGTTTCTGAGGAGGGCCTTGTCAGACTTTTCATTTCAATTGTCCCATAATGTCTCTTAGAATACTCTTCCATCGAAAGCATGAACAATATTTTGTACATAGGTTGCTTATTTCATGGCAGAAAAGCAACACTAACAACCGGTAGATACACATTTTACCCCAAGACACACAAAGGCCTTTCCCTTATAATGGATACAGACTAATAGGGAATATAAGCCTGGTGTTTTTCCAGGAGATAATTTAGGAAGGTCACCTAGATCTGGGTGCTGTGGCTCACATCTGTAATCCTAGCTACTCAGGCGGCAGAGATCAGGAAGATCGCAGTTTGAAGCTAGCTCTGGAAAATAGTTCCACAAGACCCTATCTCAAAAAACCCTTCACAAAAACAGGGCTGGTGGAGTAGCTTGAAGTGAAGGCCCTGAGTTCAAGCCTTCATAACTTCATATTTTTTACAGTACTGTAAAAAATAAAAAAAGGTCACTTAGGACAGCCTTGGGGTAGGTGGCTTCTGGAAGAGATGAATGTAGAATTGAGAACTAGTGAAAGGGCAGTAAGGGGACTGTTGTTACAGACAAAAATTTGCACATGGTAGTCCTAAAAAGTGATTCTTCGTGTTCTAAAAGCTAGTATGCATTTGATTTAGAAATTAGTATTGTTTATTCATATTGTATCATCTTATTAGAGAAGAATATATAAATTATACTACTATCATGGAGGATATTTTTATTCTCTCAGGTCTCCCCTGTCTGTCATGTTTTTTCAGCTTAAGATGATGTACTTGGGCTGGGTGCCTGTGGCTCACGCCTATAATCTTAGTTACTCAAGAAGCAGAGATGAGGAGGATCATGATTCAAAGCGAGCCTAAGCAAACAGTTCTCGAGACCCTCTCTTGAAAAAACCCTTCACAAAAAAGGGCTGGCAGAGTGGCTTAAGGTGTAGGCCCTGAGTTCAAGCCCCAGTACTGCAAAAAAAAAACCAAAAAACAGATGGTGAACTTTGGAGACTTGGACACTAGTTCAAATCCCTCACTAGCTATTTTCTAGCTGTTGACTGGGCAAATTAACATCTAAGCTTATACTCATAGCTGTGAAATATGAATAATACTGCTATACTCACGGTGTTTATGAAGATTATAAAAAGTCAGTTGACATATGTGGTGGGCACTGAGTAGCTTACTGTGAATAAAATCATATGTAGCACTGTTGAATCCACTGGTAAATCTTAACTTGCTTTATTTTTAGCACATCGAGTCACGTACTTTGGCTATTGCCCGAAACCTGACTCAGCAACTCCAGACGACATGTCAAAGCCTTCTGTCCAATGTCCAAGGGTTACCACAGCACATTCAAGATCAGACCAGCCACTTGGGGGTGATGGCAGGTGACATCTACACAGTGTTCCGCAACGCTGCCTCCTTTAAGGAAGTGTCTGATGGCCTCCTCACTTCTAGCAAGGGGAAGCTGCAGAAAATGAAAGAATCTTTAGATGACGTGATGGATTATGTTGTTAACAACACTCCTGTCAACTGGCTGGTAGGTCCCTTTTATCCTCAGCCTACTGAGTTTCAGAATGCTCAGGAACAACCTGCAGAGATGGACACCATCAGCCAGGAGGCCCCAACTTCTGAGCACAAAACTCACTAAACCCGTCTTTACCATCAGTGCCTAATGTAGTCACATGACACCTTGTTATGTTGAAATTAACCTGCAGGTGACTAAATTGGAAAAGCAGCTAGCCAGGGAAAAGGTCCTCAGCTGTAGTCATTTCCAGCTGAATGAAGACCTTTAAAGTTTCTGCCATTAACAGATGGATTTTGTTTACCTGGCTGTAAGTAAAGAATGTTAGGTTTGTCAAGAGTTTAGCTAGAACTCATTCACAAAAAAGTTCAAGTGCACTTATGGTCTTATTCTTTGGCATTTGTGTTGCTACTGTTAATGTCTGTTTGTATGCAATAAAAACACCTTCATGTGGGCTCTGGTATAAACTGGTGCTTGCTCTGGTACAGTCTTTGGTTTATCTCATGATACATGCTTGTATATCTTGATTTTAGTTTTTTATTCTTTATAAAGCAATGCCACCTTGGAATACAATAAAACTCACAGCAGAATAGAGCAGTTTTCTGCTGCTTGTCCCATGTGCTTTGTGTGTTGCTTCCATAGAGCTGCAGCTTCTGTATGACAGGGTTATTAACATACATACATGGATCCCAAATGGGCTGTTGAGGAATTTGGCAGGGTAATAGCGCTGGAAGACTAATGTTACAAGTGGAATGTTTGATAACAAATTTCAAAAAGATTAAAAGGTAATGTGAGGCCAGGGGCAGTGGTGTGCTACTCAGGAGGCTGAGGATCACTTGAGCCTAGGAGTCGTGACCAGCCTGGGCAGCATAGATCCCATGTAACTGACACTTTTTTTTGTCCCTTTCCAGTACTTGAACTTGCTGGGCAGGTGCTTTACCACTTGAGCCATGCCCCCAACCCTAGATGCCCATCTAAGAAGGAAGAAAGGGAGGGAAGGGAGGGAGGGCAGAGAGGAAAGAAAAAAGAAAAAAATGCTAATATGCACATTCAAATTAGGTGACCTTCCCTTCATTTGCCAATTTCCCCCTCCCTGAGAGTGGATTTTTAAGCCAGTAGAAAGACCTAGTCACAGCTGATTGCCTTGTCGGAAAGGAACCAAAACTACAAGGAAGGGAGTGAGTGGTTATTTACACCAGTTTTATCTTAAGATAATAGCTATTTCTTGCCAAGGTGCCAGTTAAAGTGTGAGCCTTAAAGTGAGATTGTTCAGTGTCTACTTTTAGCTGGGTTTAACTTACTGTGTTACTGTTTTGGGGAAAGTAACCTCAGTGAGGCACCTACAGGAAATCATGTGGGATTAATCAGAAGTAATAAGACTTCTGGCTGCCTGTAGAAAAGGAATGTTTTTACCTCCTGCCTAGGGTATTCAGACTTCTAGCTTCTTTAGTGGTATTGAGTCATTTAGGACCAGTCATGACTTCCTTACCACAAGCTGCAGCATGTCAAACTGCTTCAAAAACAAATAATAAAACTTATGAAATAGAGCTACATGCTTCTGCCTCTTCTAAAAGCTGAGCTGGGTTGCCCTTCAGCTGAGCTGGGTTCCCTTGAAGAGAACTGTGTCTAAGTCAAATTTGTCTCTTCTTTCTACCTTGCTTCACACCTTTTTCCAGTGAAAACAAAGAAGGATATAACTTTACATGCTCTTTTGGTATAAATGAGTATCAAGGATTTTTATCAAGTTAAAAAGTGTTTTTTCCATGTAACTCCAGGGTTGAGAAGGGAGAGCAGGGACACATGAACATAATTGAAACTGTTCTTTTTTTTAAAATTATTGTACTGGGAGTACATTGTGACATTTATAAAAGTTCTTACTTTAATGGTGCTTTCTAAATTGTTTTGCAGATAGGGAGCTGATGCCTTCTGGGAAGGGTGGACTTTCATGATTTATGGGCTTTCAGGATGGAGTCTTCCCATTTGCCTCCCTGACTGTCCTCAGTGATTGGCATTTTCTAGAATGTTTGCCCCTTACAATTTTTTTCTTAGTCCAAATTATACATAATACTGCCCCTCAGTGTCTCAAACTGCAAGGTGGTATTTCCTGGTTTATTCTTTTTTTTTTTTTAATTCTCTTAGTTTATTCGGATTGACTGGAAAATTCATGTTTTTTGAGATGGGATCCTGCTGTGTTTCCCCAGGTTGAAAAGCAATCCAGCTGTGAAGCAATCCTCCCACCTCAGAGTCTGTGGTACTGGCATCACAGATGTATACCACCTGCCAGGATGGGAAAATTCAGGTTTTAGCAATATGGATGCTTTTTTCTCTCTTTTTTTAGAAGTTTAAGCAAGGATTTATTTTAGTATAATAGGTTGAAGTATAGACAAGGAGGTAGGGGGGAGAGACATTTCCTGTTCTCTGCAGCAAATAGGAACAAAGACTCCTGCTTTTTTCTTTCTTTTTTTTTTTGAGATAGGGTCTCAGTATGTAGAGTAGGCTGACTTCAAACTTAGTCCTCCTGCCTTGGCCTCTTAAGTGCTGCAGTTACAGGAGCGGACTACCACACTGGCTACTTTCTTATTCTAAACATACACTTTTGTGTTTCTTCATCAGCAGAGTTAATAGTATCAACTCAATTTCTAATGAAAAGGAGAAAGATCACTTTTTACCTTCAGAAGAACACCACAAGCCCCTGCTTTATTTACTTTTGACATCACTGGAGTTTAAACTCAAAAGTCTCTCCCTTGCTGGGCAGATGCTCTCTTACTGCTTGAGCCACACGGCCAGCCACCACTTTTTGCCATGAGCTATGCACGTGGGTTGTAATTTTGTCTGTGTCTTTGTGTTTGAAGTTTGGCTAGGCAAACATGCTGTTCATTTACTAGTCAATGTGTTGCAAAATGTGTGGTATTCTTGAATCTTGCAGCTCCATTGTTGCCTAAGCTAACAGAAAATTTAGTTTAAAAGACTTCTTTTTGAGTTGGCCAATCCATTTGAGGGGAAAAACTGACAAAGTCTAACACAGTATCATCTAGCCGTGGCAGGTTAGAGAAATTTAGCTGAATGAAGTCTGGCTTGTTGTACCCGAGTGTTCAATGATATTTCATTCTTTTGAATGCTAATATAGCATTCCAGATATTGAAGAGCTAAAAAGAAAAAACAAACAAAAAGATATTGAAGCACTAATGAGCCAGGGGGCACATGCCTGTAATCCTAGCTAGGATTAAGAGGCTGAGGTTCAGAAGGTCACAGTTTGAGGCCTGCCCAGGCAAATGCTTTGTGAGACCCCCCATCTCCAAAATAACCAGAGGAAAATGGACTGGAGGCATGTTTCAAACAATAGAGTGCCCGGTTTGCAAGTTCAAACTCAGTCCCACCTCAGAAAGAGAAAAATACTTAATGAAATGAAAAGAGAAAAACTGCTATGAGTGTAGCTCACGTGGTAGAGCACCTGCCTGAGAAAACCCAGCCAGAACTGCCAAAAAAAAAAAAAGAAAGGAAAGCTAAAATTTACTTTATCCTAGGTACCCCTTTTAGTGTATCACTTGGATCACTTGGCATATGGGAGAAGAAGGAAGAGGATAGTCATTCACACAGATCTGTAAGAAATTGGGTCTGATGCCCAGGAAAGCAGGTATGGAGGGAGGGAAAGGAAGGCTTCTTGCCAGCATGACCTACCATGGCTCTCGTGGAACCGGGCCAGATCTGACCCACCCTGAGGCCTGAATGCATGATGTCTTGAGAGATGGATGTCTTTGCTCCATAAACCAACTGACCCACCCTGAGGCCTGAATGCATGATGTCTTGAGAGATGGATGTCTTTGCTCCATAAACCAACGTATTCACTGCTTGTACCTCGAGGTACCATACCTTCATGCTGTAGGTGTCCTCTAATACAGGATACCTTATAAGATTTCATTATAGTCTCTTGGAAAAGTAAAGATGCTAAATAACTCCACTGTTGAGTACCTCAGTTTCCAGGATAACCCCTAGCAGTCTACTTCATCTCAAAGATGGAGGAACTGGCAAGGTAATAGTCCTGGACTGTTAAGAGTAAGAATTCTCTCTCCAAGGCTTGAGGTCCACTTAGGCTGAAGACACATATTTTGTTATCTATTTTTCTTGCTTCCCATGATTCTCTTTTGAGATTCTAATGCCACCCCTTCACTCCCATGGTTTCCAAGTTACTGGGATAGGCCTAGGTCACATTTTCAGGGCTTTCACTGTCCCTGGGCTGAGCTGCAAGACTGTGGAAGAGTGCCCTGAAGGAAAAGGCTGAATTGGAAAATCCTGCCCTTAATTGGCGATGAGGCGGTGAAAGACAAAACAAGACAGGTGAGAATGTTGGCTAACACAGTGCATCTTTAGTTAAGATGTCTACATGAAATGATAGGAAGACTGTGTGAAAGAAAATGTATGTGGAGTGGAGCAGACAGAATTGTGTGAGGTTCTTCTCTCTCTTTTTTTTGAGACATAGTCTTACTCTGTAGCCTTGGCTAACCTAGTAGTTGATATATAGCCCAGGTTGGCCTTCAACTCCTTATCCTGCAGCCACAGCATCACAAGTGCCAGGATTACAAGTGTGTATTACCATGCCTGGCTGAGATTCTTCTCTCACATTTAACTTGCTTAAAATGGGCCTGCAGATAAGTGAAAAATGGGATGTAATTTGAAAAGCTTTGAGTCTCACAGAGGAGTTCAGTCTTGATATAAAATAGACTTCTAGACTTTTAGAGTGGTGATACTGATTTCATGAAAGTATTGTTTGAGCCATATCATAATTACATTTTGAGCCAACAGTGAAAAATCTACATTCATTGGGTAGAAACACCTGGATAAGTAGGTAGCTATATTTTTATACATAAGTAGCTGTATAAACAAAATAACTCAGTATTTGAGTTCCTAATATATAAAGCATGAGTTCTGCCCTGCAGGGAATGTAAAGAGCAGAAACTGACTAGAGGCTTTTCTTTTCTCAACAGAGGATTGTCCATGAATATTCAATTAATACCCTAGGATAGAATGCATTTAGCCAGGCACTGGTGGTTCACACCTATAATTCTAGCTACTTGAGAGGATGAGGTCAAGAGGATTAAGGTTCAAGACCAGTCTGGGCATATAGTTCATGAGGGCCCCCCTCCCCATTTCCAAAATAACCAGAATGAAATGGATTGGAAGTGTGACTCAAACAGTATCGTGCCTGCTTTGTAAGTGTGAAGCCCCTAGTTCATATCCCAGTCCCACCACCAATAACAAGATTTTGGAATGGGTATATAGCTTGGTGGTAGCAAACTTGCCTAGCATGTGTGTAGGCCCTGGGTTTGATGTCCAGCTCCACAGAAAGAAAAAAAGACCTCAAGTGAATCTAATTTACTAGGGATTAACATTGACTCGTTGAATGCTATACAATAGACTATAAGAATCATTTTAATTTTGCTGTGATCTGTGCTAACTGGCACCCTAGCCTTAGGCCCAATCACTTTCTGAGACTTGTTAGACAGCAAAGCATTGCACTGATGTGCACAGTACCCTACCTTAGGACAAGGGGGTATGCACCAGCCCACTCAGTTCCAAGTTGTTCAGCAAAGAGTAAAGAGAGTAGAGCAGATCTAAGATGCATCTGGTCCTCTAACAGTGAAACTACATGTTACTCATTATGGATGGTGAGAGGTTTCTGTTAACACCCAGCTCTCAGAGTCTTTGCTCCCATTTCCTGCTATGGGAACAGGAAATGCTTCCTTCTCTCTTTTCTCCCCACTGACCTCTCCTAATAAACTGTACTGTTACTTGTACTAAAAAATAAAACAAAACAAAAACCCAGCTCTCAACAAGGTTGATCTTCATGGACTATTTGGTATTATTGCCATTACCTCTGGCATGATCCTGTTTGAGCCTTATACATTCAGATTACTTTTATATAACAAGCTAAAGGCTTATGGCTTTTTTCTGGTTCATTATCTATTCTATTTAAAAATAAGTCAATTTTCTGGATCCTGTGTCCTGTTTATCAGTACTGCATGCACACTCACCTTTAACCAACAAGTTAAATCCTCACAGATAGTGTTTCTATTCTTGTAGCTGCCTCCCCTATCCAGGTGCCCAGGGCCATTGCTAGTCCAACTTTACTAAAATTAGAAAAAGGAACCACGTTTTTAGTGCCATCTTCTGGAAATTTGACATAATAAATGCATGACTCTATGAAGTCTATGATATGAAATGTGCCTGCCCCCTGCTGGTGAACAACCTGCAAAATGTAAGCCGAGTCCATGGGAATTCTAGCATGGTGACTTGTTTTTCTTTTCTCTGCTTTATTTATTTATTTATTTATTTTGTGACTTGTTTTTCTTGAAAAGAATGTATTGCTGGCTTTCTAGCGTCATAGTATGTGCGTGATTCTGATTTTAGCCTTCATCCCTGGTAGGTATCCTCAGAAAGATAGTCCTTCCATTCCTGTATTGATGGCTTATAACTGTACTTGTTCATGTCAGTGAATCAGGGATTTAGTGCTACATTTCTAAAACCCACATGAAGTATGCACATATGAATAAAGAAAAAATAAATTTAAAAAAAGAAAAAAATAAAACCTACATGAAAATGGTCAACAAAGACCACCAAATTGTAAATTGAACTCACCATGCAAACTTGATGGCCAAGGTCTACCTCTTAGTTGCCCACCATCCCCTATTTACTTCACAGCCCACAGCTTCATAGTAGGGTTTGGTGATAATGAACATTGGCGATAGTGTAATGGAAATTGCAGGCCAGACACCAGTGGCTCACCCCTGTAATTCTAGCTGAGATTGGAAGGATCACAGTTTGAGGACATCCTGGACAAATAGTCCGAAAGACCCCATCTCCAAAAAATAACCAGAGCAAAATGGACTGGAAGTGTGACTCAAGCAGTAGATGGCCTGCATTGTAAGCTCAAAGCCCTGAGTTCAACCCCAGTCTCTTCCCACCTCCCCTGCTCCTACCCCCTTCCCCCCAGAAAAAAGAAATTGCACACTGAATCATTCTGGATATATAGAAGGTGAATTGTTTATAAGGATCTCAAACCATTTTGGGTAATGGAGGTACTTTTTTTGGAACCTCCAATTCTTCTAAGAACTGTATAAGAACTGTACTTTATCTCAACAGTTGCCTAGTCCATAGGTGACTTTGGAGGAGTGTATGTGTGTATATGTGTGTGTGTGTATGTATTGAAATTTTAGGCACTAAACAGACCAACAACTACTGTTTATTGAGCACCTTTCACAAGTGAGGCTCATGCTACCTTTATTCCTCACCTGTGACCAAATTAATTAGTTTCTTTACTGGAGAGATGAGGGAACTGAGGTTGAAAAAGACCAAGTGGCCAGGAGGGGACTTTGCTCAATGTCTTACTGATGTCAAAGTGCATACTTTTTCCATTCTAGCCCTCTAATAGGCGAAAACTGCAGCTTGCTTTTGTGTTTGGGGTCCAGAAAATCTCTCTGCTTATATCCTTTGTGTTGAAACTTTGCATTCTGTTTTATGTTTAATAAAAAATAGTGATAATAGATAAAACTTAATAATAAAACATTTAAATAGATAAAAATTAATAGCTATTAAAAACGTGTATTATATGCTAAAATATACATGTAATAGAAATAGAGAGAAAGCTAAGCAAGTGCATCTTTTAACCTAAAAAGGGTGAGATTATAATAGTTGTCTTTCCTGGCTGGTGGATGTCCTAAACCAATTTGTATAAGCATTGCTGTTTTTTGTAGCTGTGAGGTTGTATATAAACTGCAACATGAACATTCATTACAAAGACCACAAACAGGCAGATAAAGGGCCTGATAAATACGACTTTTTAAAAAAATAAAACAGAACTATTTTTTATGTTGGTTGTACAATACACCAAACATCAAGCTGGTGGAGAGGCTCAAGTGGTAAGCACGCCTGCCTAGCAAGCATAAGGCCCTAAGTTTAAACCCCAGTGCTGCCAAAAAAAAAAAGAAAAAAAAGTTACAAGTATACCAAACATCAAATTTACTATTTTAGCCATTTTAAGTGTATAATTCAGTGACATTAAATGTACTCACAATATAGTCTAGCCATCACCATTATTCATTAGTTGGAACTTTTTATATTATCCATGCAAAAATTCTGTATTCTTTTATGCCACAGAGTTAGCACCTTAACTCCTTCATCCATTTCTTCCCTTTATCTGGCTTTTGAGAGATTTTTGTTGTTGTTAGTTGTTCTGCCTGTTAGGCAGCTATTTCCTCTCTTTACTATCAAGATTCCAGTCTTTAGTTCTATGCTGTCCTTTTCTCCTTCTCCTTGACTCCTCTCTCCCTCCCCCTTCTCTCTCTCTCCTCTCCTTCATCCTCCTTTGCGCTGGGGTAGAACCCAGGGCCTGGTGTGTGCTAAGCACATGCTCAACTACTGAGCTACACCATCATCCTTGTAGTGGCTGTTTCAACTTTTTTGGGGGGTGGTTGTTTAATACACGGTCTTTCTATGTAGCCCAGGCTGGTCTTGAATTCATGGTCCTACTGTCTCTGCCTCCTAAGTGCTGCACTTCAACTATTAAAAGACTAATTATGCCAGGCTTCGGTGGCTCATGCCTGTAATCCTAACTACTTAGGAGGTAGAGATCAGGAGGATAGTGGTTCAAAGCCAGCCCAGACGAATGGTACGAGAGACCTTTTCATCACACGCACGAAAAAAGGGCTGGTGGACTGGCTCAAGGTAAAGGTCCTGACTTCAAGCCCCAGTACCACAAAAAAAAACAATTATGGGCTAGTGGAGTGGCTCAAGTGGTATAGTGCCTGCCTAGCAAGTGCAAGGCCCTGAGTTCAAACCCAATGTGCTAAAAACAAACCAAAAAAATAGAACTATTTATTTCATTTATTCTTAGACATTTCCCAAAAGGATTTATATTTTTTGGAAGTAAGATATACAGAAAAGTGGAATATTATTTTTAAGAGAGTAATAAATTAATAGATAGATAAGCAGAAATATTTTATATCTTGCTTTTCATTTTTTTTTTTTTTTCATTTTTCTTTTATTATTCATATGTGCATACAAGGCTTGGTTTATTTCTCCCCCCTGCCCCCATATATCTTGCTTTTCAAAAAAACAAAATCCTTTAATATATTCTAACCCCAGCTAGTTTCTTGTAAAGAAAAGATTCCTAGCCAGGTGCCAGCAGCTCACATCTCTATTCCTAGCTTCTTAGGAGGCTGAGATTGAGAGGATTGCAGTTCAAGGCCAGCCTGGGCAAATAGATCATGAGACTCCATCTTGAAAATAACCAGAGCACAATGGACTGGAGGCATGGCTCAAGTGGTAGAGTACCTGTCTTACAAGCACAAAGCATTGAGTTCAAACCCCAGGCCCACCAGAGAACAACAAAAAGAAACAACAACAACAAAAAAGAGTCTTTAGTGCTTTTATAATAAGAATAGGCTAAGGCTAGAGATTCAAGTGGTAAAACACCTGCCTACTAAGCACAAAGCTCTGAATTCAAACTCCAGTACTGACAAAAAAAAATATGTATATAATATGAGTAGATTTCAAGAATAATACTGCAAACATCTAAAAAGCACAGTTTGGGACAAAGCAAGGTTCACCCACATGCAGTATCTAATGTCTCTAGGAGCTCAGTGTTTTAATATCTAAGATTCTTCTTTTACAGGTGCTTGATTTCACTGCCATAGATTTGACATCTGAGACTGATGAAATTCCAGATATTATACCTTTGGAAGAGGAGGATGGAGCAAATCGAGCTGATGGCCCTGTCCTCTCAGGGCAAAATGTTGAATAAACTGCCACGAGGAAATACTACTGTTAGGGGTCTGGGTGTATGTGGGAGTTTGAGGCCAGCCTGGGCTACACTGTGAGACCCTGCCAAAAAAACAAAAACAAAAACAAAAACAAAAAGACTCCTTTGGTTACATTTGTATCATGTTAAACTTCATGTTTACTAATATGTTTATTACTGTGGCTTTCGGGAGTGTTAATCTATCTTTTGGCTACTTGAGTTTAATTGCAATAAAACTGATCTGAACCTTTATAAGAGATTTTGTTCTGTATCATATTATTACATAAAATTCTTCAAAGTTTAGTTGCTGAAATGAATATAGTAAAATTGGTCTGTATAATCTCAGATCAGAGTATTTTTTTTTAAACTTCATATTTGTTGTTTTGTGTCTCAGGAGACATTCTTGCTTTTTTTGGTAACAGCATGCTTATGTCTTTAGAGATTTCTGTGGGGACTGGCAGAGGTGGCCCAAGTGATAGAGCACCTGCCTAGAGGTCCCAGTGGGTCTGCTGATCAAAATGTTTTGCTTTTGAGCTGAGTACTGGTGGCTTACTCTTTTAATTCTAGTGACATGGGAGGCAGAGATCAGGAAGATGGAAGTTTGAGGCTAGTCTGGGCAAATAGTTTGTGAGACCCAATCTTGAAAAGACCCAAAACAAAAAGGGGCTGGTAGAATGGCTCAAGTGGTAGAGTGTCTGCCTAGCAAGAGTGAAGACCTGAGTTCAGACACACATACTTTTTTTTTTTTTGCTTTCCCTTTAGAGTAGGGGTGGCCATGTGAGTGAACAAAAGCAGGTCAACTAAGAAGAATCATGGCATGATGGGTAAAGTCTCAGACTGTAGGTTCTAACCTTAGTTTGCCACTTACTGTGTGACTTTAAGCAAGTTACTTTTTTTTTTTATGTGAGACGGTTTGAACTTGAATTTGTGCTTTGCAAAGCAGGCACTCTACTGCTTGAACAACATTTCTAGTCCATTTTGCTCTTGTCATGTTGGAGATGGGGGCCTCATGAAATTTTGCCCGGGCTGATCTTGAACCTCTATGTCCCCGATCTCAGCCTCCCAAGTAGCTAGGATTACAGGCATAAGCCACCAGCACCTGGCAACAAGTCACTTAATTTCTTGATGCCTCAATTTTCTCATTTGTAAAATGAGAATAGTACTGTGGCAGGAAGGCAGAGAGGGGGAAGAGAGATTAATGAGTGCTGCAGTGAAACAAAAAAAAAAACCAGAGTTGGGGAATGTTACCTGGAGACCAAAGAAGGGTCACCTCGATGCAGAGCTTAGAGTGGCCAATGAAATGACATGTGATTATGTATGAGACAAGCTGCACCCCCCCCCCACCATTTCTGTAACCTGCTCTAAATGGTAGATAAGGAAAGCCCCCTATGTTCTCAGGGCTCAGTCTTTGGACATAAGTCTGCTGAGTCTTTGCTGGCTTGCTTAATAAACTTGCTTCCTGAAAGCTTTGGTACCCTCTCAGTTTCTGTCTGAGCCCTCCTGCAACATTTCTGAGGGCCTGTCCAGGATTTGGAGGGTGGTGTTTTCACCTCCTTGTCATCGGCTCAATGTCCCTGGCCCGTCAGGAGGGCTGACCCTGCTAGGTGCCACCAGATTACATTGATGGGGTGGGGGGGCTCTCCCTAGTGAGCTGAAGAGGTGAGTTCTGGTTGCACAAAGGAACCTGAAAAGGCTCAGGAACCAACCTGGGAGCCTGCTCATAAGACTGGTAAGAACCTGGGTTCAAATTCAGGCCTGCCTCAGGGGCAGAAAGGGAGTCTGATCAACTCTCAAAGGCACCCTAGTAACTACCTTTTTTGGGGTGAAACCGTGTCTTTCAGGTTCAGGGAGCGAGGTAGAAGTACTGTGCTGTGGGAGAGTGTGTAAAAGGGTGTAGCCTGGTTATGAAGTGAGTATGGAGTTCTGATCTGTGTCTGTGGTGAACTTATATGGTCTAGGGTGAGGCCTAACAGGGCCTCCAGTCCAGGGCTTATATGGATTTACTATGGCCAAGAGATGCCTAAATCCCTGGAGGGGAGTGGCCGGAGATGGACAAAGCAAGTGGTGTTATTTGTTTTCCTCTGTGTGCCAGAGAGGAGGACCCCTTACCTCCTCTCCACAGCCCTCATCCCTTCTGTCTTTGTCTGTGTCTAGACGTCTGGCAAATGGGAGGAATGGGAGGAGGTCAGAGTAAGAACACCACCCTAGAACTTTAAAAGGTGATTTAATGGAGATTACAGGGTCAAACTGACTCCTGACAAGCTTAGGACCTTCTGTGAAATAAACTGGCCTGCTTTTGGTGGAGGATGACCCTCAGAGGGGTCATTAGATAAGGTCATTGTCAATAGAGTTGTTAAAGTGGTTGTAGGGGAGCCTGAAACACCCAGATGTTTCCTTATATTGACTGCTGGCAGGATGCAGTCCTCAGTCAGCCCACGTGGCTAAAGCCCCACCTAGAAAAAGCATGTAGGGTCATGATAGCCAAGGTGGCAGCAGTTCCCAAGTACAGGGTAAAATGTAAAAAGCCAAAAAAACTCCATATTAATGGGGGACCTTGAGGAGTCCCTGCCCCCGTTACGTACCTTATGTACAGATTAGAGAATTTCTAGGAACATCAGGTTTCTGCCAGATCTGGATCCCCAATTACTCTCTCTTGGCAAAACCCCTTTATGAAGCCACAAAGGGTGGGTGGGGGGGAGTGGGAATCCATGGTATGGGGAGAAAAAAAAAGCCTGTAAAAAAAATTAAGAGGGCACTCACAAACACCCCTGCTCTGGGCCTGCCAGATATGATAAAGCCCTTCTTCCTATATGTACATGAGAGACTGGGAGCTGTAGGAGTCTTGACTCAGCTGCTAGGTTCCTAGCACAGCCCAGTGGCCTACTTATCAAAGTAACTTGATGCGGTTTCCCCAGGCTGGCCACCCTGTCTGAGTGCCCTGGCAGCTACTGCCATCTTGGTGGCTAAAGCAGAAAAACTTACTTTGGGACAAGAACTCACAGTCTGAGTTCCCCACTCTGTTTTGACTCTCATGGAATATAAAGAAAATTATTGGTTAACAAACTCCCAAATGGTCAAATATCAAAGCATGTTATGTAAAAACCTACATGTCCAGCTAGAGGTTGTTAAGACCCTAAACGCAGCCACTCTGTTACGGGGAGACAACAGCTGTTCAGGGAAATTGAAAAGCTGATAGGATAGCCAAGAAAGCAGCCCTCAAAGGAGGACAAACCTTGGCCTCATTGGCAGATGCCTTGTTCCCATGTCCTTTATCTGGATGGGATCCATGGCATACTTCACAAGAATAGTTTTGGTTTTGAGACTGAAGAAGAAAATTTTCTACGGGACAGATGCTGGAAGTTTTCTGATGGCTGCATTGCCATATCTGAGTCACTGGCTCCCACATTTGTCAAGGAGTTCCATGAAGGAACCCACTCAGGACAAATAGCTCTTGAGACTACCTTGGCTCAGAATTTTTATGTCCCCAAGCTCTCCAGCATAAGTAAGACTGTATGTGAAAGGCACAGTCTATGTGCCAGAAACAATTCCTGATACTTCCTGGTGTTTGTCTACACCTTCTCAGGATGGATAAAAGCCTTCTCGACTTGGACTGAGAAAACCCAAAAAATGGCCATGTGCCTGTTAAAGAAAATCATCCCTTGATTCAAAATACCTGTGTCTATTGGGTCAGACAATGGGCTGGCCTTTGTGACTGGGGTGGTACTGTTGATGGCTAAAAGATCAGAAATAACCTAAAAGCTACACACGGCTTTGGTGCCCTCTCAGTCTCTGTCTGAGCCTTTCTGCAACAGTACTAGGTTTGTGACAAAGATTAAGTAATTAACATTTGTGAAAGCTTAGAGCAATGCTCTTAACAAAGCAGTATTAAATAAGTATTAGTTAAATAGATTGTAAATTGGGTGTGGTAGGGTACACATGCAATCCCAGCACTTGGGAGGCTGAGGCAGGAGGATTTGGAGTTCAAGGCCAGCCTGGGCTATATAGTGAGAACATATCTCAAAATCAAAGACAAGCACAAAAGTAAATTGTGGCCAACACAGTAGCTATGCATATCCTTAGTGCCCAGATTGTGGTCACAAAAGACATAATAATAGAAACCAGTGCTATTTGAAGAACTGGCTTATTCCAGGTCTGAGACAGGAAATGTACAAAATGAGCCTTGAAATTCTTGAAAGCCAATTTGAAGAGGTTCCCATTGGCCCACATATGGGAAAATATGAATCTCTTCAAGGTTGATAAATAGATGAATCCCTGTGGGTATGTTTGAATTCATGAGTTCATAAATGTGGGAGTGGGGAGGGGAGAGAGGAAGAGAGATAGATTTGGGAAAAGTAATAGAGTTCAGGGGGTAGACCTAAGAGCTCATTTGAATCATCATGAATATTGGGTGAGAACAGGCATCATAATTATGTTTATCTGCCAAGCTGCAATGGTGAAATAGGTAGAGACGTGGATTTAATAGAGATTGGGGTTTTGCCAAATAAATTTGGCAGAGAGAAAGTGGCTGGGGAGTTAATGACATGTTCAAGTTAACAAGTAACCTCTCTGTCCTCCTCTACCCTCATTCCCCCAAGTAAAAGAAATTGAAGAACATCTCTTCAGTTCCAGGCAAGGTCATTAGTCTCATTTTGATGACCACAGAAGTGAAGGAACATTCAGAACAGCAAGAGATATAATTGTGGACATTAATGCCGGCATATTGGGAAGTAAGCAGACCAAAGGCCACCATCTGGCCCAGAGTCATGCTTCTCAGCACATATATCCGGAAGCCTAAACTCCTAGGCTTTTCCTTAAAAACTGTCCTCCCCCTTTTGAAGTAGGACTGCAGCTTTTGGGATGGCAGCTCATTGCAGTCCTCATTTTGCCCAGCAAAATTGATGAACCTTTACTTCCTCTTCTCCAAAACCCTGCTCTCATTAGACTGAATTTCCAGTGTCATAGAGACAGAAGGATTAGAAATTCTGGTGGTGTAAAGACTGTGGGAATAAGGTTTAGAGGGATTGAGACAGAAAGTTAGGAAGGGGAGGCTGAAATTGAGATTATGGAGTAATTGATAATGACAAGGTCAATGTACAATGAGTACAATGGGGCTATGCACAATGAACATGGGTGGCTGAGGTAGAATGGAAGACAAGATTATTGGAGAGAAGGTCAATTAACTGACAGGCCAGGATACTGAAAAGGTCACCTGCATGGATACGGATATCAACCAAAACTCTCAGGAGCAATGTTGGAGGGAATTAAGGGTTAAATCGTCTCAGAATGAGCTCAGGTGATCTGGATTTTATTTATTTATTTATTTAGGTGTGGTACTGGGGATTGAAACCAGGGCCTCTGTTAACTGCAAGCATTCTACTACTTAAGCCTCACCCCAGCCCTGTTATATGTTTTGTTTTTTGAGATAGGGTCTTGCTAATTTTGCTGAGCTGGCCTCAAACTCCAGGTCTTCCTACCTATGCTTTGTAAGTAGGTAGGATTACAGGCATGTACACCATGCTTCCTTAAAGGGGCTTTTTTTTTCTTTTGGCAGTGCTGGAGATTGAGCCCAGGTGCCTCATGCATGCTAGACACATGTTTCATCTCTGAGCTACATCCCAGTATGATCTGGAGCTTTTATATATGACCTTCACATGAAGAACAGCCATCTGCAGAACTGGACGAACACCCTCACCCACCTCCCTCGATTCAAGATTCCATTCTCTGACTGGGGATGTAGCTCAGTGAAAGAGCAATTACCTTAGCCCTGATTTTGAACCCCAGCACTGTCCTCCCCCACAAAAAAAATCCATTCTCTAAAATCCCAGATGATCACATCCTGGGCCAATTATTAAGGTAACAGCTCTAAGCCGGTTATAACTGGCTACCGCCTGTGATCCTAGCTACTTAGGAGGCAGAGGTAAGTAGGATCTTGGTTCTAAGCCCTATGGAAAACTAGTTTGCAAGACCCTATCTTGAAAAAAATCCATCATGCACACACAAAAAGGGCTGATGGAGTAGCTCAAGGTGTAGGCTCAGAGTTCAAGCCCCAGTACAGCAAAAAAAAAAAAAAAGGTAATGGCTCTGTATCCTTATGGAGTCCACTTACCTTATCAAGGTTAAACCTGGAAGGGCAAATAGGATGATCAAATGCACAAGCGCCTGCCCTCATTCTTTCAAAAGTGCAGGCTTATGACCTCCCACACCAGCACAGCTACTGCAGCTGTCAAACCACTTAGGAAGGGCCAAAAGGGGAGGGCCTCAATTTCTTGCCTGCTAGTAACCCGACCCTATTGGATAGTCAAACTACAAGCCCCATACAGCTGCCTCAGAGTTGATCCTTATCCAACTGCCAGTTTCACCCCTCAAAGTGTACTATAATCCGCTTTGCTAATAAATAACTCCTTTCTATCTTCCCATTCTTTGCTATTCTTTTGCTAACTTCCCTTCTGCCCTCCCATCCTCCCATCCTCCCGCCCTCCCTTTCTTCCCTCCTTCTCTTTTTTCTTTCTTGTGGCACTGGGGTTTGAAATCATGGCTTTGCGTTTGCAAAGCTGGTGCTCTACTGCTTGAGCTACACTTCTAGTCCATTTTTGCGCTGCTTATTTTGGAGGTGTGGGGGGGGTTTCAGGAACTGTTTGCCTGGCCTAGCCTCGAACAGCAATCTTCCTAATCTCAGCCTCCCAAGTAGTCAGGATTACAGAGGTGACTGGCCAGTGTCCTAATCTTAAGTGTTGCACCTCAAGAACTGACAGAGAGACAGAAATAGAGACAGAGAGAGAGAGACAGAGAGAAGACTCCAACCATTGGTTCCAATAGCATAAACTTCAGAGGATCTGGTGGTTTTAGTAAGTCAGGAAGCAATAACTGCCAGGCGTGTCAATGTGAAAAAAGTAGGATACCCCCACGTCCAGACCTTGAAGCACGTGGGGTGTGCAAAAGAAAACAGCCAATTGAAAGTGCTGCAAGGGGAAGCCGTATTTTTATGAGAACCAGATTTCAGGTAGAGCAATATGAAAGGAACATTCAGCATTTGAGGATACAGAAAATGTTGCTAATGCTAGAACCGAGGCTCAGAGTTTAGGGGGCGTGTTCAGGGTCAGACACCTAGTGCCCTTCTCAGTACACCGAGCAACACTACTCCATCTTTGGCTTTTATCTGATTTAGCAATCATGCGAAGATTCAACAGTAAACTTTAAGACTTGGGAATAGCTAGTCCAAGTGGTGCCGATAAAATAGCCTCAGAGAACTGCCCTGCGGATGCGCAATGCATAGTGGGTCTTGTAGTTTCTCGGCGGGGCGTGACGGGAAGTGACGGAAGAGGACGCATTGCATGGCGGGAGATATAGTCCGTCACCCTCCCCGGAAGCCAGGCGGCGCCGCCGCACACTGTACTTCCTCAAGCGCGGGAGTCTTGTTTGTGTGGCTTCTGCCAAGCCGCTGTAGCAGCGCTGCCGTTAGAGGCTCCATTTTCCCGAGACGTTTGGGTGGGTCGTTTGAGGCAAAATGGCACGGGGCGAGAGAGCTGCGGGTGGCCTCCATGGAGGGGCCCCCACGACCTCAGGCTGCCTGTAGGGAGGGGTCGCTGGAGCCTGCGTTTGCTTCCATTGAAGTCCCCGTGCCTCCCGTGAAGATGAGCTCGGCCTCGGTCACTTCTTTCGAGAAGCAGCATCTCTGGATGTTTCTGCAGGCGCTCGGCTTCGAGCCGGGCCCGGCGACCCTCGCCTGCGGGAAGATCGTGTCGCACACGCACCTAGGAGTGTAAGGAGGCCGGAGGGGGCGGCGTGGTGGCCGCCCTGGCAGACGCGGTTGAGCACCGGCTGCCGAGGCTGGGGTGGAGGCGGTCGTGTGTCTGGGGACGGTGTGGTGCGGAGATGTGCAGGGTAGATGTGCAGGGTAGATGTGCAGGGTGGGCCGAGCCCTGCGGCGGGTGGAGGAGGGGGTCCGGCGAGGGGGCGGTGGAGGTCACGTCTAAACATTGACTACCAGGTTAGGATGATGTATTCATTAAACGCACTCCGCGTACTTCACGGCCCCGCAGCAGTTTCATTTTCTCTGTACTGTCAGGGAAGGTTTAGGCTTCTTCAGGGGCTCCACTGAGAATGGCTTTAATTGCCACTGCATCCTTCTCTCCAGTGTTTTGGTCAGTTTCCCTTCTCTGGTTTGTCCGCCGTTATAGTTTGCATTCTGCATATGAAAATGTGTTCGAAGGTATCAGGTTCTGGTTCAGTGATATCAGGGTTTAGCTCCCCTCTCCTCAACGCTCATGGATGTTTTTCCATCTTTTTTTGAGACAGGGTCTTGCTGTGTACTCCAGGCTGGCCCCAGACTTCTCATCCTTTTGCCTCAGTCTCCTAGGTGCTAGGATTACAGGTATGATACACCATGCCCAGCTTTAACTGAAATGGTTTAGAGTCATTTCAGTCTGTTATTTGGAGTGATCTACCATTTTGAAACACGTCCCTTTTAAAATAACTAAAACATAAAGGTTGTGTGTTTACTTAAAGCCTGTAATCCTAGCTCCTTGGGAGACTAAGATTCGGAGGATCATGGTTCAAGGCCAGCCTTGGCAAATAGTTTTCAAGACCCGCATCCTCAAAATAACCAGAGCAACATGCACTGGAGGTGTGTGGCTCAAGTGGTAGAGAGCCTGCTTTGCAAGCTTAAAACCTCCAGTTCAAACCCTATTCTCTCTGTCTCTCTCTCTCTCTCCCTCCCCCCCCACCCCCACAGTTGCTTATATGGTAATTTTTTTTTGGCTTTGCAATTCTATGAATTTTTAATTTGTGTGAGCATGTAGTTGTTCTTATAAAGTTAAACATATATGTAGCCTATGGCCCAGCATCCCACTGGTATTTGCCTAAAAGGTTGCATTTTGGAAGAATGATACTGTTGCAGAGAATGGATTAGAAGGGAAAGCAAAGTTTCACAGTTACCTAGGCCTGAAGTAAGTTGGCAGTGGGAATGGAAAGAAGAGAGGTGACTATTTTCCATTTAACAGATATTTATTGAAAATATTATTGGATCTTGGTATACAGTGGTGAACAAAATAGATGTAAACTTTTCCTATATAGAATTTTATTTTTCTTACAGAATTTTAGTCTAGTGAGTGAATAAAACTACAACAGATGTATTATTACAAATTATAAGTGTCACAGGGAAGAGGACAGTACTATGAGTAACAGGTTTGAGAGATGGTAAGGAAGTTGATGGATAGAATTTCATTTTGTGTTCCTCAAGGAATGGAGACATTCCAAAGACAAGAGTTTGACTATAGATAGGCATACAAACATATGCAAGAGAATAGTAGTGCTAAGGTAAAAATACACTTGATTTGATTCTGTGTAAGTAATTTGATGCCTTGTGTTGGGAATCAAACCCGGGGCCTTTTGCATGTGAAGCAAGAACTCTATCAGTGAGATAGAATTCTAGCACCCATATTAACTCTTGATTCTTTATAGCTGTGTGACATTTCTTACAGGGTTTAGTGGATTTTTTTTTTTGTTTTGTGTTTTTCAAATTGTAATTTTTGACTTTGTTTTGATTAGAGAAATTGGAATAATAAAATCTAATGAATTTGCTAGCATTACATCATGGTTCTGGGAATAAAAGCTAGTAGTTAAGACCTTGGACTCCAGGGTCAGGCGACGTATTTCAAATTAATACTTTTCTACTTTTTGGTTATGTGATAATTTTAGGGGCACGTTTTGTAATGTATCTAAATTTAAATTTCCTCAGCTGTATAATGAGGATAGTAAAACTAATAAAACAATCCATGTTAAAACAAAATAAGTGTATCTAACCTTATATGATAGTAATGAAGATTAGATAAGTTGCTAACTGTAAAAGACTTAGAATAATTCTTGGAAAATAGAAAATTCTCAATAAATGTAATTGTTGGTTTGCTGGTGGCTCATGCCTGTAATCCTGCTTACTCAGAGGGAGCGATCAGGAGATCAAGGTTTGAAGTCACCCAGGGCAAATGGTTCATAAGACCCTTCCTTGAAAATACCCAACACAAAAAAGGACTGGAGGAGTGGCCTAAGTAGTAGAGAATTTGTCTAGCAAGTGTGAGGCCCCGAGTTCAAATCCCAGTATTGGCAAAAAAAATACTGGTTGGTGTCGTTGTTTTCATATTAGAGGGTATGTTCTCTTAACCTAATTAGGCTTTTCTTACCTTTCTGTAGGATGTTTCCGTAGCAAGTAAGCAAGTGCCAGGTTTCTATTGGATTTTAGTTTCAGAATCAGAAAATTAAGCTTGTTTTTTTTCTTAATTGATTAAAAATGAAGAATATTAACTTTGTGTCAAACTCTTATACAGCTTTTAATGATGTTTAGCTTTATTGATCATTTTCCTTTTTTTTCCCCCTTCCTGCTTGTTTTTCATCTTAAACCACTAGGAACATGTTTGACAAGCTGAACCGTGACGCCTTTCAAATAGTTTCTTACTTTTTGTTTCAAACACTGGATGAGTCCCTTACCAAAGAAGTTTTCAAGTAAGGAGAAAATTATTTAATTTCCTTTTCTTATTTACTTATTCTCAAATTTGAAAATGACTGTCTTGATACAGCCAAAATTTCAACTTTGGCTATTAACTCTTGTTTTGAATGGATGTCACAAAATGCAGGTGTGTCCCTAAAAAATTAGCTAGCATTTGTTGCCCTCAACGCAGAGAAACTAAAGCAGATACCTTAAAAGCAACTGAGGCCAATAGGAAAAGGGGACCAGGGACTAGAGAAAAGGTTAGATCAAAAAAGAATTAACCTAGAAGGTAACACACACGCACAGGAAATTAATGTGAGTCAACTCCCTGTATAGCTATCCTTATCTCAACCAGCAAAAACTCTTGTTCCTTCCTATTATGGCTTATACTCTCTCTTCAACAAAATTAGAAATAAGGGCAAAATAGTTTCTGCTGGGTATTGGGGGGGGGAGAGGGCGGAGTGGGTGGTAAGGGAGGGGGTGGGGGCAGGGGGGAGAAATGAACCAAGCCTTGTATGCACATATGAATAATAAAAGAAAAAAAAAACAAAATGCAGGTGTGTCTTAGAAATTTACTGCTTAACCTCAGTAAATTACTCAGGTGATGTTTTTGGTACTTAACTTAAAATCATTGTATACTTCACATTTAATGTAGGTTTTATTTCATAAAATTAGTTCCTAACCTTCATGGTCTTAATTAGGCAAAACTATTATCTTACACCAGTCTGTTTATACACTCAATTTTGCCCTATTTAAAAAAAAATGTTAATTATTCCGTGCCTTACTACTTTTCTTGTGGGGAATGTTATTTGTTTTGTCTATTTTTATTTTCCAGTTCTCTGTAAATTATTTTGTTCAGTGATGTATATTAATGGGTCAGTTGTACAAGGTGTGGTGGTACACACTTGTACACCTAGCACTGAGAAGGTTGAGGCTGGAGGATCAGGAGCTTGAGGCCAGTCTGGGCCACATAGCAAATTCCAGGCTAGCTTAGGCTAGTAAGATCCTGTCTCACAAAATAAAGGGGGTGAAAAAATAAAGGGGATGAAAAAGCTGAGCACCTGCCAGTCTTCATTCTTAAGTTATTTCGCATATAATTTTGGGTATTTCTTGTCTGAAAAGTGTTCAAAGCTGGCTGTGGCGGCACATGCCTTCAAATATTCTGGATGCTGAGATAAGATCACTAATTCAAGGCCAGCCTGGACTACGTGACAAGACCCTGTCTCAAAATGAGAAAAAATTGTGTTCTAAGCTGGGTGCAATGGTACATGTCTGTAATCCTAGCACTTGGAAGGCTGAGGCAGGAGGATGGTTGGTTTGACACCATTCTGGCCTAATAGCAAGAGGCCTTGTTTCAAAAAAGAAAAGTTGTAAGTGCCCAGAAGAGTAGGTGTATTGAAATTTCTATAATTAGGTATAGGGCTTCCTTTGTACAAATAAAAATAGGTTTTCTGATATTCCTTATTAAACCATGGCTCATTTTAAGTATTTCTTAAATGTAAAGGTGGAGGTAATCGTTCCTGAATGTACCAAAATGAGGCTATCACTATTGACCTGCCAGCCTTTTGGTCTTTTTTTCCTGTGTATACTTAATTTTTCTATGACTAAAGCCTATGTTTTAGAAATGCAAAAAACTGAGGGCTAGATGTGGTGACTTCTAGCACTCAGAAGGCTGAGGCAGAGGATTGCATTTGAGGCCAGTGTGGGCTACAGAGTGAGACTTTGTCTCAAACAAACAAAAACAACAGCAACAACAAAAACCAAAGAGAAAAAAAAGCAAGAAAAGCATGATAACTTTAAATGAATAATTATGCCTCTGTAAAAATTTGTGTAAAACTGATTACCAGGGAAAAGTAATACATTTTAAAATGTAGTATATTTGACAAAAACTGAAGCAAAACTTTTGTTTTATATTTTTGTATCTTTTTTTTAGCTATGAAATCATAGCACCCATAGACAGTGATACGGGTTATCTCTAGGAGTCATATTCTTACGCATTTCTCTGCTCATCATGTATCCAGCTATGCTTTTCTTCTGCAAGATTCTGCGCCTCTCGGCTCAGTACACTAATTTATATCATCTTTGTAATGTTGGTCCAGTGGATCTGTTGAGTGTTGCCTCTAGCCTAATTTTCAGTTTTTATTATTAAATTTTTTTTTTTTTTTTGTGATGCTGGTCTTGTGCTTGCTGGGTAGTACTGTACCACTTGAGCCATGCCTCTAGCCCTAATTTTCAGTAATTTTAATTGTTCGTCATTCTTTTGCTTAAGGTACATATTCATTAGCTATTTGCACTAAACTTAACTCAACTCAATAGGTATTTATAAAGAAGACCCACTTTCTCACAGATTGGTATCTGTCTTTAGTTGAAATCTAAGATGGTTAGCTTTAATCCATTTTGGTTTAGTGTTTCTAGTATAGGAAATAAATTTGATGTGCTTTTAAATTTTGCTGAGTTTGATTGCTTTTTTTTTAAAACAAATATTTGTTTTTAAGATTTTGCTGGCCTCCATTTGACCAAAAAAGTGACACTGAATTCCGGAAACATTGCTGTGAATGGTTAAAAAAGATTTCTGTAAGTATTCTCTTTGGAAGATGCAGACTTTAAGAAGTTAAAAACTACATTTAGTCTGGGGATATAGCTCAATGGTAGAGTGCTTGCTTATCATGTGCAAGGCCCTAAGGTCGATTGTCAGCACCATAGAAAACAGAAAGAAACAACAAAAAACTGCCACTACTAGCAAAACAAAGAAACCTCCCCCAAAACAAAAATCAGAGTACAGTAATTTTTTTTTTTTAGAAGTGAAATCTTTTTATTGCTTTTATGCTAACTGTGCAAGGAAATAGTCATGTCTAAGTGCACTAGAAATTGGTTTTAGATTCTTGAAAGCTTAATTATCTTTGTGACCAAGTCTGCCTAGAGTTTAGAAAAACCAAATCATTCAACTTGTGGCTCAAATAGAGTAATTTTTTAACGTGAATATTCATAGATTGTTTTGTTTTGTTTTTTTGTGGTGCTGGGGTTTGAATTCACGGCCTACACCTTGTGCCACTCCACCAGCCCTTTTTTGTGACGGGTTTTTTCAAGATAGGGTCTTGCATACTATTTGCCTGGGCTGGCTTTGAACTGCAATCCTCCTGATCTCTCCCTCCTGAGTAGTTAGATTACAGGTGTGAGCCACTGGTACCCGGCTTTCATAGATGCTTGATTTGTTATAACCCAAACCTGAATACAATCCAAATGTCCTTCAACAAGTGAATGCATAAAAATGATGAAAACTGGAGAAGGTCTGTATTCTAGTTTATACTGTTGTACCAACATTAATGTTTTGGTTCCATAGTGTATGACAGTTACATAAGTATCTCCATTGGGGGATGTTGGGTGAAGGGCATATGGAACTCTACTACTTTTGCAGCTTCTCAAACAGAATAATCTTGATCAATGATATGTTTACAAAATGATATGATGTGAGGACGGATTGGGGTGGGGGTGGTCACTGACTGAGGCTTCACCTTCTCTTACCATTTTTCACTCCATGTTGGTATTGAATACATCCAAACCACTGTGCCATGAAGAGGAGTTGCTGATGGTTAGTGCGAATGATAGCTGTCACTGCCCTACTGTGAGATGCTCATCTGTGTCGTCTATTGCAAGATTGTCATGCTTTTTAAAAAAACAGTGATGTAAATATGATGTTATTGCTGACAAGTTCTTCAAATCATTTTATCTCTTTTCTCCATAGGCTGAATGTGGAAGTAGCTTTCCTCAAGTTGTTGGCTCATTATTTCTTTCTCCTGGTGGTCCTAAGTTTATTCATCTGATGTATCATTTTGCACGATTTGTTGCAATAAAATACATTAAAACCAATGCTAAAAGTAAGTTAAGCTTATAGTAGGAATGTATTTTGTTTTAATTCTTAAATTGTTACTCATAATTTTAAAATCAAGAGCTTTTAATGAAGCAAGATGAGTGAAAACATTAATTTACTTAAAAAAAAAGCAACCTAGGTAATATTCTACTGGAACTATACTTTGAAATCTCATAATGAATCTCAGTTACTGTTTGTTACTTTATTATGTTCTAATGTAGCGGTTTGGGAAACAACTTCTATAGAAAGGTCAGATAATAAAATATTTTAGTCTTTATGGACTACATAGGGTCCCCCTTCCCCTCCCTTCCTCTCCCTTCCTACTGATGATTCTCCTGCCTCAGCCTCCCTACTGCTGGGATTACAGGCATATACTACCCTGCTGAGAAATTCTTTTTACTTTATTTTAAAATTTTAATTCAAAAACTATTTATTTATTTATTTGGTGGAACTGGGGTTGGAACTCAGGGTGTTGGGCTTATTCTACCACTTGAGCCATTCCCCCAGCCCTAATTTTATTTTTTGAGACAAGGTCTCATTGGAACCCGTTGGAACCAATCAAACTAATGATTCTTCCACCTCAGCTTCCTGCTTGTTTTCATTGTTTTTTGAGACAGAGTCTCATTAGGTAGCTGAGGCTGGCCTGGAACTCACAGTTTAGCCAAGGCTTACCTCTCCCTCTCTCCCTCCCTCCTGTTCTTTCTTTCTTGTTTTCTCTCTTTCTCTTTCCGTAAAAACAAAACAAAAAAGCAGATGGAGCCAGTTGTGGGGGTGCACACCTTCAATCCCAATACTCAGGAGACTGAGGCAGGAGGATCTTAAGTTCAAGGCCAGTCTAAGCTACATAGGATACTCTTTCTCCGACCTGGGCCGGTTCACCCCTCCTTAGGCAACCTGGTGGTCCCCCGCTCCCGGGAGGTCACCATATTGATGCCGAACTTAGTGCGGACACCCGATCGGCATAGCGCACTGCAGCCCAGAACTCCTGGACTCAAGCGATCCTCCTGCCTCAGCCTCCCGAGTAGCTAGGACTACAGGCGCGCGCCACCGTGCCCGGCTAGGATACTCTTTCTCAAAACAAGTAAACAAACAAAAGGAAACTCATAAATAATAATGAAAATTTGGTTTTGGATCTTTTTTTTCCTAGGTGGTTCTGGAGTTTGAACTCAGGACCTTGTGCTTTACCAGGCAGGCGCTCTACCACTTGAGCCATACCTCTAGTCCTTGGATCTTTAACAGTTAATCTTGGAGATTATTCCTTATCTGCTTATACAGCTTACTTATTTTCATTCTTTTCTTTTTTTTTTTTTGGTGTGACTTGGGTTTGAAGTCAGGACTTTGTGCTTACAAAGCAGGCACTCTACCACTTGAGGTCCATCTCTGATTGATTTCGCTCTGGTCTTGTGAAATATTTGCCTAGGTTGGCCTGAAACCTCGATCCTACTGATCTCAGCCTACCAAGTAGCTATCATTCTCTTTTTTAGAACTGCTTAATATTACAGTGAATGGATATACCATAATTATTTACTTACTCATTCTTCTGCTAACAGACGTGTGGATGATCTTTTTTTTTTTTTGGGCATTATGTCACACAGCCAGTCCTTGATCTTTTACTATAAACAATGTTCAAGTCAAACTTTATACGTAAATCAGTTTATCTTTGTTCAAGTACATAGATACACAAATGATTCCTAAATGATAATTTGCTTGGTTAGAGGAAGTATGCATTTATACTTTGCTTGCTATTACCAGATTATTTTCTATAAAAGTTAGCCGATTTATACTTCTGTCACCAGTGTGTGGACAGTATTTATTTTCCCAAAGGCTTTTCAACATTCATATAGATTGTGATTGACATTTTATTGTTTTCAGTCTGACAGGTTGTAATGGAATCTCAGTATAGTTTTGATTTGTATTTGTTTTATTATTAGTGAGGTTGAAAATTGTTTCATATGTTTAAGAGCAATTTGTACCCTATGTTTATGTATCTTGTTCATTTTTTTCTTGGTCTTTTTTCATTTATAAAAGCCCCTTCTCTGTGATGTGACATACAAACTTTTTTGCTCATACTCTTTTTCTATGCATGATTTTTGAAAATATGCATGCAATCCTGCTTTATATACATTGGCTTATTTTTAATTCTTCATAAGTATTTTGCCAGTTTTTCTATCAGTAGATGATTTGTTCCAATTATATGTAAGCCATATTATTTCATATAAAATATATGTGTTTGGGTTTAATAAAGGTTTATTGTGCATAAGGCTTTGAAGCATGCATTGTCCTATTTCTGATTTAAAGCAATTCTGGTCAATACGCCCAGTGTGTAGATGACTTTTAAATTTAGTGAACTGATTTCCTATCAAATGCTTAGAAATTGTGGTGGTTTCTATGTGGCATGCTAGGACATGGACAAGTAATGTCAAGTGAAGTATGGAGCCCCTGCTTTCCAGAATATCCAGATCTTTATTGTATGGAGCCATGTTAAAGTAGGATTGATTTTTTTCTTTTTCTTTTTCTTTTTATATATTTTTCTCTTTTTTTTTCTTTTTGTCTATGTTTTGTTTGTTTCTTTTTGTTATTAAAAGTAGGATTTATTACAGATGAAATCCTGGATTCTGAAATGACTGCATGGCTTCTCAGACATACACTTTGATCATTAGTAACATAGCCAAGAATTCCTTGAAAAATGGAGAATGGTTTTGTTTAGTTGTTTTGTTGTTTTGGTCTTATTGTGAGGAAAAGTAAGTTAATGGTACAGTGAGGATGATTCAGTCTTATTTCATCTCTCTTTTTCTCTCTCTTTTTTTCCTTTTCAGTGCTGGGGATCGAGCCCTGATCCTGGAGCATGCTAGGCAAGCCTTCCCTGAGCTACATCCCTGGCCTTACCTCATCACTTAGTTGATTTTCTTCCTTTGTTGTTAAAAGATCCTATTAGGAAGCCTAGTAGCTCATATACAACAATGTATTTGTTCATAGATATATAAAATTATAATAAGAATTATTTTGGGCAGATGAACTCTGAAAGTTTTTGTTGTGTAAAACAGTACCCTTTTGCGTACTTTTAAAAATGGCCATCTTGCTTTTATTAGCAGTACTTTCGTCTTTTTTATGTATGTGGCATACTAGCTTTTAAGGAGTTGTTAGTTGTATGATGTTAATTTCTTGAAATGAAAATTAAACTTTTAAAAATTTTGTATATAATTGGGTCTTGGTATGTTATCCAGTCTGGCCTTGAGCTCCTGGGCTTAAGTGTTCTCTTGACTCAGTCTTAGTGCTAGGACTCTAGGTACTTGCCACTGCACTGGATAAAATTAAACATCTTTGATATTTCTTACCTGAAAGTCTGTTTTCTGTGATCTTGTCTTCTGTGTAGATTCTTCTCTACGTTTTGCAGAGACATTTAATGTAAAGCCACAAGATATGCACAAGTGCATTGCCAGATGCCATGTAGCACGTAACAGATTTTTACAAATTTTGCAAAGAGAAGATTGTGTTATCCAAAAATATCGGGAAAATGCACAGTAAGTAGTATTTTGATAGTTAGAAAATAATTCCTTTCTTTTTGAACAAATGCTGTCAATATGACTACATTAGAAATAATCTATACCTGCCAGGTGCCAGTGGCTCATGCGTGTAATCCTAGCTACTCAGGAGGCAGAGGTCAGGAGAATTGTGGTTTGAAATCAGTCCCGGGCAAATAGTTTGTAAGACCCTATCTTGAAAAAAATCCATCACAAAAGGCTGGTGGAGTGGCTCAAGGTGTAGGCCCTGAGTTCATACCCCAGTATCACAAAAACAACAACAACAACAAAAAACCTAATCTATACCTACTTCACAACCTTTGCTATTATTTTTTCATTTTACAGTATTTTTTTTTTTTTTATTGGCTGTACTGGAGTTTGAACTCAGGGCCTCAAACTTGCTAGGCAGGCGCTCTATCACTTGAGCCACTCCACCAGCCCTTATTTTTTCATTTTAAAGCTGGCTAACTTTTGTTTATTTTTGGTGGCACTGGGTTTTGAATTTAGGGCTTTGTATTTGCTAGACAGATGCACTGCCACTTGAGTCACATTCCTAGCCCCAGATAACTTCTTAATAGAATATTTTAAAACTTCAGGCATTCTGTAAATTAAAGTTTACGGAAAATTTAGAGAGAAAGAAAACATCACATTAGTTCAAAAATTCAATTTTTTTCCTGTAACTTTCTGTTTTTCTTTTTGGTACAGGGTCTTCTTATGTATCCCAAGCTGGCCTAGCACTTACTACATAGCCCAGGCTGGCCTCAAAGTCATGATCTTCTTGCCTCAGCTTCCCAATTACTGGGATTATAGGCATGGTCCACCATAATCTGGCTAAAAAAAATCCAGTTTCTTACATGCTTTTTCTTCTTTTCAATGGAAATGTATCATTATTATTTTTGGTGGTATTGGGGTTTGAACTCAGGGCCTTGTGCTTGTTAGGCATTTGCTCTACCACTTGAGACATGCTCACAGCCCTTGTTACTTTAGTTATTTTTCAGATAGGGTGTCATGCTTTTTGTCTAGGGCCAGCCTTGGACCTCCTACCTTTACCTGGATTACAGATTATAGGAGGGATTATAGGCTGCACCACCATGTCCCACTTGTTTGTTTGTGGGCCTGGGGTTTGAACTCAGGGCTTTACAAAGCAGGAGCTCTACCCCTTGAGCCATACCTCCAGTACATTTTACTCTGGTTATTTTGGAGATGGAGTCTCGAAAACTATTTGCCTTAGCTGACTTTGAACCGGAATCCTCCCTTTCTTGGTCTCTCAGGGATTACAGGTATGCGTTCCAGCTTGTTTTTGAGATAGGTTCTCCTTAACTTTTGCTTTGCTGGCCTTGAACCCCAGGCCTCCCATCTCTGCCTCCTAGGTAGCAGGGATTTTTGCATGCACTACCATGCCTGGCCTTGGTAAGGTATTTTTATGCTGTAATTGTGTTAATCCCATTTTGCATCGTTTTTGTCTTGGTATTTCATTCTGTAAATATTGCCCATAGTGAATTACTTTTAGTTTTTTTTATTTAATAGTTTGTGTAGATACTTCATTAAGTACGTATTCCTGAAAGTAGGTATTCCATACTTGAACTATTTCATAGTATTATATATTTAGGTTCATCTATTCAACAAATGTTTTTTTGGGGAGTTTCTTCTGTGGGCTGGATGTTGTTTAGCACTGGTACCACAGCAATGAACAAGATAGGCAAAGTACTTTGCTTAAGGGATAGGTTGCGGCCAACTTTCTACAATGATAAACTTTATAGTGAGATATCTTTCTAAATGATTTAACTGTTACTAAAGCTACAGAATCTTGACCGGGAGCGTGGTTCAAGCAGTACAGTGCTTGTCTGGCAAGTGGAAAGCCCAGCACTGGTAAAAAACAAAAACAAAACAAAACAAAACGCACAGAATCCTTTGAAATTACCTTAAAGCTGAAATGTTTCCTGACTGTGTTAGATAACATTTAAATTTACCCCCTAGGTGTGTCAGACAAGGATAAAAGAGCAGAGCATTCTTTCTGACTTCCACCATTCTATTCAAAGAAGTCGGTATACTAGCCCAGAAGTCATGGTCCATCTCAGTATTACCCTGTATGTTCGATCTAGCATGACAGTTAAAGGGAGTCTAGAATCTTTTAGCTGGCTGGGTGTCCTAGAGACCTTGAGCAAAGATGTGAAAAGGGAAGATATTCAAGTGAACTGTAGTAGTTAACTAATGGAATTATAATTGTTATTTTCTATGTTTTCTTGCAGACTATCAGTTAAACAAGTACGAAATTTGAAATCAGAATGTATGGGACTACAAAACCAAATTAAAAAGTAAGTGACACTTAGAGCTGGAATTTGCCTTAGATATTAGTTTAGCTTTTGTATCCTATAGGTGAGGAAATAGTGCTACAAATATTTTTAAAAATAATAAGGTATCGTCTGGAGGCATGGCTTAGGTGGTAGAATGCCTACCTGAATTCAGATCCCAGTACTGCTGAAAACAACAACAACAACAAACCAACAAATAAGAAACTCCCACAAAATAATATAGCTAGATAATGATAGGACTAGAATAGAGTTCTGATTTCTAGTCCAGTTTTCCTCCTAAAAATATTTATTAATCTTGGATGTATTATTATTGTTATCTAATTGAAATGGCTGTTGGTGGGTTTGCAGATCAGTTAGCTTTTTGACTATTAAGTCACATTGTGATTTTTTTTTTATGACTAATTAGATTATTTAACTTTTACTAGAACGGAACCCTATGATGACCAAAGTAATATACAAGAGAAAATTCAAAAGGTGAGACTTTTTTTGTTTTTGTTTTTTGAGATATGGTCTCAATATGTAGTGCAGTCTGGCCTCAAACTTATCCACTTGCCTCAGCCTTCCGAGTGCTGGGATTACAGGTATGTTCCACCACTTCTGGCTAATTCCTTCCTCCCTCCCTCCCTCTCTCCCTCCCTCCTTCCTACCCTCTCTCCCTCCTTCCCTCTCTCCCTCCTTCCCTCTCTCCCCTCCCTTCTCCCCCTCCCCTCTCCCCCTCCCCTTGTGGTCTCTTTTCTCTCTCTGCCTCTTTCTCTTCTCTAACAGCAGTCTCCCTGTGACTCTTAGCTCAGCCTCAGGAGTAGCCGGGGCTATAGGCACATATGTGCCTAGCAGTGGCACTCTTGTATTCTCTGTCTTTGTAGTACTATTACTCTTTTTTTTTCTTTTTTTAAAAAAAATACTCATTATTTAAGCAGTATGGTATATAAGAAAATTAACATGATGTCTCTAAAACACTTGAGTATAATGGAAAAAAAAATCAGTTTATAATTTATAAGATTAAGTATATGCAAAAAATAGTTTAAAATATAATTAATTTAAAATCCCTCATCCCAGCAAGAAAAGTTCTCCTTGGTTGTAACCTAATGGTGCCTGGTGAACTATTTGCCCAGGCTGGTCTGAAACCACCATCCTCCCAATCTCAGCCTCCCAAGTAGCTAGGACTATAGGTGTAAGACACCGGCATCAGGCAAGGAAACTGTATCTTGTGAGACCACCAGACTGTCAGCCAATGAGTCTTTGAGGCCAACTTTAACTTGCTATGTTTAGTATTTTATTTATATCATGGAAAGACACAGACACTGACATGAGTTATAATTATCATGTTTTACCACTTTTGTAAATTTAAAAAAATTTTTGAATTGTTATACATAATAATAGGAATTTCATTGTGATGATTCTGTACATATGTACAGTGTACCTTGAACAAGTTAACTCCCTCCATTATATTCCTACTCCCATATTTACAAACACTGTTACGTCGGTTTCATTATGCTGTCTTCATATGTGTTTGTGCAGCATACTTCACCCCTTAGTATCCTTTTCCTTTCCTCCCTCCTTCCTCCTGCTATAAATTCTTTTGAGCATAACTTGCATACAAAAATGTGCGAACCATTTGCCCAAGAAGTTCCCACAAAGTGAATGCACTTGTGAAACCAGTTTCCAGTTTTAGGAACAGATCATTGCTGATGACCCAGAATCTTCTTCAAGCTCTTCCATTCACAGCTATTTTCCCCCAAAGGGTAAACACTGTCTTCACACATACTAAAGATTAATTTTGGACTGCCACTAGTAATCCTGTAATCCTAGCTACTTGGGAGGCTGAGATGGGAAAGATTGCAGATCATTGCCAGTTGGGCAAATAAGTCTCAGAGACCCCCACCTCCAAAATAACCAGAACAAAATGGACTGGAGGTGTGGCCCAAGCTGTAGAGCACCTGCTTTGCAAATATGAAGGTCTGAGTTCAAACTCCAGTCTCTCCAAAAGAAAAAAAAGATTAATTTTGCCTGGTCTTGAACTTTATATAAATGGCAGTTAATAGAATATTTTCTTTTGTGTGTGACTTCTTTAACTCATACTATTTGTGATATTCTTGCTGTTGTAGTGTGTTCATTCCCATTATTCTATTTTATAAGTATAGCAAAATACACCCTTTTTACAACTTTTGAATTATTTCCTGTTTTTGACTACTACACATAGAAGTGTGTAAATATACTTTAAATTTTCTTTTTTTTTTGGTGAGACTGGGATTTGAACTCAGGGCTTAGTGCTTGCAAAGCAGGTCCTCTACTGTTTGGGCCATACCTCTAGTCCTTTTTTTTGTTGTTGTTTTAATTGATAAATAATAATTGTATATTAATGAACCCACTGTGATGTTAATTAGCATCTATCACCACCAATTTATTATTTTTTTACAATGAAAAATAGATTTTTAGCAATTTTCAAATATGCATTATTAATAATTGTGGTCACCATCAACACAAATAAACCATTATGTCTACTCTTCCAGTCTAACTCAGTATGTAAAGAATTTTTGTTTGTAAAAAAAAGTATGTTATTTATATTTTAACTGTTCAGGAACTCAAAGACATAAAACTGATATAGTTTTTTTTCTCTCAAATCTTTTATTATTTCTCCCTTAAAAATTTCCATTAGATTGATGGCATGTCAGGATATAGGAAATGCTAACTTATCTTGGTGGTATCAAGATTTCTTAAGTTTGTCTCAAAATTATAGTGAGCTAAATTCTCCTGAGAAATTCTTTAGTTTACAAGCCTCTTTCGAAGTTAAACTATTAGAATACAGTTATTTAATTTTTTCACCAGAAATCATCCAAAGAATATGCCATTTGTTACTAAGGATAAGCAAATACTTATGCTTACAGTTCTTAATATAAGTACAGATTACGGATTTTCATATTTTGTCTCTTTTGAAAGGTTCAGTCTCTGTGGACTTCAGTGAATGAAACACTCGTGTTTTTGGAAAAAGAGAGAGAAGTTGTTAGTTCAGTGCTTAATCTTGTTAACCAATATGCTTTAGATGGAGGCAGTGTTGTTATTAATATTCCAAGGCTCTTACTGGACAAAGTTGAGAAACAAATGTGTCAGGTAAGCATTTGATAGTGAGGAAACTTTTGGAAGATATATGCTATATATAGTAATATATATTGTTTTTCTCAAAATGTTTTTCTACTAATTTCCAAATTTATTTTTGTGAGTATATAGATATAAAATCTTCATAAAGAGGGGTACTGTTAAAGGCATGTATATCCTTCAACTTTTATTATTTGTTCATACCTTGTACAGTGTAGTGAATATAGGTTACTTAGTAGGAAGGTAGTTCTGTGCTAGTTCTTTATAAATTTTCAAAGAAAACAGTAATGATTTCCTTTTGCCAGATGTCTTTTTGTTATTGTTTGTTTTTTAAAGATAGGGTCTTGTTTTTTAGCTGGACCTGGAATTCACAAACTATTTACCTCAGTCTCCTGAGTGCTGGGATTATAGGTGTACATCACTGATTTTGGCTCTCTGAAAGTTCTTTTAAAACAGTCTCTATTTTTTGACTTCTCTTTTATGCTGTTAAGCATTCTTTTATATTTTTATTTTGGATAAGTGGGACTTTTTTTTTCGTTTATTCATATGTGCATACAATGTTTGGGTCATTTCTCCCCCATTCCCCCCACCTCCCTCACTCTCCCCCTTTACCCCCTCACTTCCAGGCAGAAACTGTTCTGCCCTTATCTCTATAATTTTGTTGAAGAGAGAGTATAAACAATAATAAGGACAAAGCGTTTTTGCTAGTTAAAATAAGGATAGCTATACAGGGAGATTCCTAGCATTGCTTCCATGTACATACGTGTTACATTCTAAGTTGATTCTTCTTGAACTGACCATTTCTCTAGTTCCTGATCCCTTTCTCCTATATATCATGATTTTTGGGTTTTTTACCTATCCTTATACCTCCCTTGTTTGCTCTCCCCTTATCATGTGACCAGAGTCCAATCACTTTGCTGTATTTGCCCTTGATCTAAAGTCTGCTTATGAGGGAGAACATACAATTTTTGGTCTTCCGGGCCTGGCTAACCTTGCTCAGGATGATATTCTCCAGTTCCATCCATTTGCCTGCAAATGATAAGATTTCATTCTGCTTAATGGCTGAGTAGTATTCCATTGTGTTTAAATACCACATTTTCTTAATCCATTCATCAGTAGTGGGGCATCTTGACTGTTACCATAACTTGGCTATTGTGAATAGTGCTACAATAAACATGGGTGTGTAGGTGCCTCTGGAGTAACCTGTGTCACATTCCTTTGGGTATATCCCCAGGAGTGGTATTGCTGGATCATATGGCAGATCTATGTTCAGATTTTTAAGAAGCCTCCAAATTATTTTCCAGAATGGTTGTAGTAGTTTGCATTCCCACCAGCAGTGTACGAGGATTCCTTTTTCCCCACATCCTCGCCAACACTTGTTGTTGGTTGTGTTTCTATTGATGGCTATTCTTACAGGGGTGAGGTGGAATCTTAGTGTGGTTTTGATTTGCATTTCCTTTATGGCTAGAGATGGTGAGCATTTTTTGATGTGATTTTGGCCATTTGAATTTCTTCTTTTGAGAAAGTTCTGTTTAGTTCACTTGCCCATTTCTTTATTGGGAGAGTTTAGTTTTTTGAGTTCCCTATGTATTCTGGTTATCAGTCCTTTGTCTGATGTGCTGCTGGCAAATATTTTCTCCAAGCTGGGGGCATGGCTCAAGTGGTAGAGCGCCTACCTAGCAAATATTTTCTCCTACTCTGTGGCTGGTCTTTTCAGTTTAGAGACCATTTCTTTTGTTGTGCAGAAGTTAAGCATTCTTTTAAAGTCTTCTTTCAGCTTTCTGATGTCTATGTGTCTCCCTGTTGTTTTGTTTTTTTATTTTTTGATGGTGGTGAGGCACATTGAACTCATGGCTTTGTACTTGCTAAGCAAGTGCTCTACCACTCGAGCCATACCTCCAGTTCATTGAATTTTCAGCCTGCTAATCTTAGTTTGTCCCACTGGTTCCTTTTTATTCTACCTAGCTTTTAAATAAAAGGGTTCTCCACTGTTCCTTTTTGCTTTCCCTCTTTACAAATTTGAGTACTTGATTACCAATTCTTTGGCTTCAATAGCTTCCTATACAAAATATTACTAAAATGTTAATTCTTGTCTCTGTCCATCAACCCATACTCCATGTACTTATTTCCATATATGTATGGGATATTTCCATCTGGTTAGATTACTTTTTTTTCTTAGTAAGCACTATATAAATAGTATTGATGGTAATATGGGGCTACAAAGATAAAATATTACTGTGACTCTCATGAGCTTTCTTGTGAATAGGTAATATGACAGGTACCTCAGATTCTGAGTACATAAAAATCATTGTGTAAACTCAGATATCTATAAGGTATAGGCAGGTAGTAGATAGGAAGTACAATAATTATGTGTAATAATAAGGAGAAGTCAGGAAGTAATGAGGTCTTTGGAGAAAACTACTACATACATACACACACACACACACACACTTTTTTTTTTTGGTGGGACTGGGGTTTGAAGCGCTAGTCAAGCAGGCGCTTTACCACTTGAGTCACACCTCCAGTCCATTTGCACTGGTAATTTTTAAAAAAAAGTTTTTATTAGTATAGATAGCTATATAGGGGAAAACATTTTTATTAGTACATGATAGTTATATGGGGAGTTTCATTGTGACATTTCTGTGTATACATACTTTGTACCTTGGTTTGGTTCATCCCCTCCCTTAATCTCCTTCTCTTATGCCCCTTCTTGCAATGACTTCGACAGGTTTCACTGTTCCATATTCATACATGTATAGAAAATACATCAACCATACCATCCTCTTTTCTTCGTTTATCCCTCCACCCCTCACTACTACCCTTCCCTTAACATGACCTTTTCTACATTCCTGTCCTTCATTGTTTTAGTCTGTTCATTGTTCAGTGGGGTTTTGCCTCTGTATTTTACCTGTAAGTATATTGTACTTTAGTCACATAAACTCCCTCTATTACTCTTCCTTATCTTTTTACCCCTACCCTGTATTGTTGCCGTTTTCACTTTGCTTTGTTGTGTCTTGTTCTTACACAGATGTAAGTATTTGGATATTATTCATTCCCTGTCATTTTCTTAATTCATTTATCAGTTGTAGGGCATCTGGGCTCTTTCCTTAGCTTGGCTATTGTGAACAATGCTGCAATAAACATGGGTATACAAGTGTCTTTTTTGTATTCTGACTCACATTTCTTCAGATACATGCCTAGGAGTGATTTTGCTGATCATATGGTAGTTCTAGTTTCAGTTTTTTGAGGAATATCCATATCGCTTTCCATAGTGGTTATACTAATTTACATCCTAACTGAAAATGCATAAGGGTTCCTTTTTCCCTGAATTTTTGCCAGTATTTGTTGTTGTTTTGTGTTCTTCATAACCATTCTAACAGGAGTGAGGTGGAATCTTAATGTGGTTTTGATTTGCATTTCCTTTATGACCAGGAATGTTGAGCAGTTTTCTTCGTATGTTTTTGGCCATTTGTACTTCTTGAGTCATTGATTCTTTGGGAGTTCAGTGTTTTGAGCTCCCTGTAAATTCTGGTTATTAATCCCTTGTCAGATGTATGGCTGGCAAAGGTTTTCTCCCATTCTGTTGGCTGTCTCTTTTTAGTGTCATATAGTTGCATTTGTCAGTTCTTTCTCTTCATTGCTGTAGAATAATATTTAGGAAGTTATTGTCTATGTCTGTGTGTTCCAATATGTTCCCTACTCTTTCCTGCAGTAGTTCAAAATTTCAAGGTCTTATATTAAAGCCTTTGATCCATTTTGAATTGATACTTGTACAGGAAGAATGACATGGGTCTACTTTCAGTCTTCTACATGCATATACCCAATTTTCCCAGCAACATTTGTTGAAGAGGCTGTCTTTTCTTCTTGTATGTTTTGGGCACCATTGTCAAAAATCACTGTAGCTGCATGGATTTATGCCTGGGTCTTCTATCTGTTGCAGTGTTCTTTGTTTGTTTTTGTGCCAGGACCATGCTATTTTTTTTTTTTTTTTTTTTATAGCTGTGGCATTGTATTGAAGTAAGATATTTTGATACCTCCAGCGTTGCTTTTTTTACTCAGTATAGCCTTGGCTATGCACATTCTTTTTTTTGCTTTCATATGAACTTTAGGGTTGATTTTTTTCAATCTCTGTGAGGAATATCATTGGAATTTTAATGGTGATTGCATTGAACATATAGATTGCTTTTGGTAATATAGCCATTTTCACAATGTTGATTCTGCCAATCCATGAGCATGGAGCTCTTTGCATCTTCAATTTTTTCTGCAGAGATTTTGCTGTAGAAGTTTTTCACTTCCTTTGAGGCTATTATAAGTGGAATTGTTTTCCTAAAGTCTTTCTCAGTCTGTTCTTTGTACCAGCAAAGAAAAACTTAGATTCTTGCATAATGATTTTGTATCCTACTACTTGGCTAAAGGTGTTAATGATGTCTAGGAGTTTTTTGGGTCTTTTCCATATAGGATCATGTCATTTACAAATAAGGATAATTTGACTTCTTCCTTTCCTATTATTATTCCTTTTATTTCTTCTTCCTGTCTTATTGCTCTGGCTAGAAATTCCAGAACTATGTTGAATTAGCATAGAGAGTGGATATCCTTGTCTCTTTCCTGACTTTACAGGAAATGGTTTCCGTTTTTCCCCATTTAATACGATGTTGGCTATTGGTTTGTGGTATTTAACCTTTATTATGTTGAGTTACATTCCTTCTGTTCCTAGTTTAATCATTTGTTCTGGTTATTATGGAGAGTGGAATCTCACAAACCATTTGCCCAGTCTGGCCTTAAATCGTGATCCTCTTGATCTCAGTTTCCCAAGTAGCTTAGGATTACAAGCATGAGCCTCCAGTGCCCAGCTACTATTATATTTTTTACATGAAATGTATAATTTAGGAAATATTGGCAACTCTGCAGGCTAAAGAAACGTATCTTGAGTTTGGATATTACCTTTACGGGTCATTGATTTGCAAGTGTTGTAAAATAAAGAATTCCCCAAACCTTTACTTTGGTTTTCTAAAGAGGCCCAGGCTGGCCTTGTACTCGTGATCTTCCTCACTCAGCCTCCTTAGTATTGGGGTTATAGGTGTGTCACCACATTCTACTCAATTCTTCTTTTCCTTTTCTTTTTTGTTGGGACTGGGGTTTGAACTCAGGACTTTGTACTTGGAAAGGAGGTGCTCTACTGCTTGAGCAAAACCTCCAGTCCTCGGTCTTTATTTTTCTTTCTATCGATTTGCATTTCTTTTCCTCTAGTTTTTAATCTTTTGAATGATATAAAAATGTAACATGGAATGTTAATTCTTCCATAATAGTTTCCACTGGAATTATTTACATAGTTTTGTGTTTGGATAGTCTTTGATTTTTCTTCTTACTCTTTAGGGTAAGATTTTTATATAATAGTAAAAAGCATATTTATGTAACAGTTTACCATAAGAACCCATAGTTCTCTAATTTTATTCCCCCCTCTGAATCTTTAGTTGCACATAGGAAATGTTTATGAGACTGGAAAATTGAACCTCTTAACAGTTATTCAGTTGTTAAATGAAGTCTTGAAAGTAATGAAGTATGAACGTGGTCAGACTGACCAAGCAAGATTGACTGTAGACCTTCAATACCTTGAAAAAGAGACCAAAGTCCAGAGGGAAAGATTATCAGAGCTGGAGCATATGAGGTACACTGGCAAGATCTTCTGTTATTTCACTTTGAATGGTTTCCTCAGTTAAATTCTTGTATAGTTAACAACCTGCAGCTTTGGCAAACACATGAAAATTTTACTAGTACTCTTAAGAGTTTGTGTAAGAACTCTCCAAGAGACATGTGAGGTAGAACAGATAGGTAATGTAGTTTTTCCTTACTGGAATAACACTTTGAACTAAGTGAAATCATTCTAATTTTTTCTAGCTTGTGTTGTGTTTAATAATAAAGTTGAACCTCAGAAAGGTTCATTTGAGCAGACTCAATGGACAGAGAGTGGGAGTAGAATTCTGACTGAAGAGATTGGAGCTAGGAAAAAAAAAATAGATAAAAATACATGACTTGGGGCTTTTAAGTAAGCACAAGGCCCCAGGTTCAATCCCTAGCAAAACTCACACATACACAAGTATGTGCACACACACACAAAACACCCCCCAAAACGAAAACAAACCCAAGAAATAAAAAGATACTTGGGCTTGGGGCAGGTGCTCATGTGGTACAGTGATGCCTAGCAAGTGAGAGACCCTGATTTTAAATTTTGATTATTAACTTATGAGAGTTATATTGATTGAATTTTCAGTTGTAGTTGCTTTTATTGCCTAGTATTAGTATTATTTTCTTAAATTTTACTCCACACTTTTTTGTTTATTTATGTTTTGAGTAAAGTTCCTTTTTTGCTGTGACAGGTATAAAATAAAAGAAGATCTCTCAAATATAAGACATTCTATTGTTGAAAAGCAAAGAGAATGGCATAAGAAGTGGAAGGAATTTCTTGGTCTGTCTCCTTTCAGTCTATTGAAAAGTTGGACTCCAGTAAGTAATGTTGACTAGCCTTTTGGAGAGTGGTTTAGTTTTGGCAGTCTTTTGTTTTATCATGTTACAAGTAACTTAGAAATGCTATATGTATATATGCTTCTCATCTTTGCATCTGAGTCTAAAGTTCTAATGTTTTGGTTTCTGTAATTTTTCTAAATATACAATAGAATTTTTATTAAGCTGCTGTTGTCATTTATAGTTAATATTTATAAATTGAGAGGGCTATATTAAATGAGATTTGCCTCTTGATGTGAGATACTATGGCATTTGAGACAAAATAGAGGACAAAGTAATACCCTTGTTTATAGTGTTGTATGCTTTGATTTGCAAATAGTTTTAAGATATATATTTGGTAATTCTTTGTTAGGCAAAAAAAAATTCCATCCATATGTTAACTTAGCATTGTTATTGTGGTTGTTGGTAAATGTGTTTAAAATTGTGTGTTGTGTGTTTTAAGGCTGTGGATCTTTTACCACCTATGTCCCCCCTTTCATTTGATCCTGTCTCAGAGGAAGTATATGAGAGGAGTATTCTATTTCAGTATCCTGCTTCACTTTCAGGTTGGTTATTTACCTTTTTCCCCTTTAAACCTCCCTTCTGTCATTGTTTCTCATTATCATAACAATTTTTTATGTTTTGTTTTTTCTCTTCATCTATCTATCAGTTGTGGGACTGGAGTTTGAACTTAGGGCTTCACACTTACAAAAGCAGGTGCTCTACTACTTGAGCCACACCTCCAATCCATTTTGCTCTAGTTATTTTGGAAATGAGGGTCTCATGAACTATTTGTCTGGGCTAGTCTCGAATAGCAATTCTTCCTTTCTTAGTCTCTCATGTAGCTAGAATCACTATGAGAGCCACATAGGGGGTTTCTTTGTGACATTTCCATATAAGAATATATTGTACCCCAGTTTGGTTCATCTCCTCATTATTCTCCTTCCTCCCCTTCTCCTTCCTGAAGTTACTTTGATGTATTCTAATCAATCAAACACCCTCTATTACTCCTCCTTATTCTGTTCCCCCTACCCTGCATTGCTCAACAGTTTTTAGTGTGTTTCCCTGAGTCTTTTTCCTACTCTCAACTTCTATGAGGTTAGCTTTTTTAGTTTCCACATATAAGTGAGATCATGTGGTCTCCTACAGGTCTTTCTGTGCCTGGCTTATTTCCTTTAACAAAATGACTCCCAATTCCATCCATGTTTTGCAAATAGTTTTGCAAATAGTTGGAGGAATGAATGGATTAAAAAATGAATTATTGAGCCAAGCTGGAGCTAGTAGTAGATATATGCAGGCCAACAGGAGGTCATGAGAGCAGTTAGCACAGGACTTAGAAAGAAACGTGTGAACATTTGGGATAGGTGGTCGGTTTGGGAATCAGGTGTATTTGGGGAGGATACAGGTTGGGAAAGATCATTGATCAGAGAGGAAGACTCAGTATGTGACTAGAGGAGTAGACATAGAAAAGACTGCATGGTTTGAGGAATGAGAACAAGCTTTGGGTTTGAGCATTCAGGACTGTGGTAGCTTTGGGCAGTCCTTCGTTATGCTGATGGAAGTATGTTGATATTCCTTGGCATATTTGATTGGCATTGTGTTCTCACTTTAACCAGGAAAGGGCCTTTGCACTCTTGCCTGACTTAGTTTAAATCCTTTGCAACCGTGGAATTCTCATGTTGTATAAGTCAGCTTTTTGTCACTGTGACAAAATACTTAGAAAATCAGCTTAAAGGATGAGCAAGATTTATGTAGGCTTGTGGGTTCAGAGGTTTCAGTGTGTTGCTTAGTTGGCTCAGTTGTTTCTGGGCTACGGTAGGGCATTGCCTCATGGTTAGTGGTATGTGGAGCAAGGCAGCTCAGCTCCTGGTGGCTGGGAAACAAGCAGAGGGCAGGGGCCAGGTATAAGATGCACCTTCTCAGGCCATGCCCCAGTGACCTGTTCCTCCAGTGAGGCCCAGCCTCCTGAAGTTTCCATCATTTCTCAAGAATGCCATCAAATTATGACTATCAGTGGATTAATCTGCCAAAATTAGAGCCCTCATGATCCATTTACTTCCAAATACCCCATCACCTGTGGGGACACTTTTTATCCACATGTCCATTTGGAATTTGCATATCTGCTTTGAGATTGAGGACATACTTGTGTCTTCTTAGACTGTTCATTTGGGAGTCCACATTTAAAAGTATTTAATGGTTCTTTGGGGGTACCCCTATCTTATAGGCATTACACATTTGTACTCTTAGAATTAAAAAAATTTTTTTTGGTGGTATTGGGCTTTGAACCCAGGGTCTTGTACTTGCTAGGCAAGTACTCTGCCACTTGAGCCATGCTCTAGCCCTCCATCCTTTTTTTTTTTAAAGCATAGTAACCTTGTTCTCAGCTGACGGACCTCAACATTTTTTATTTTTTTGTGATAAAACAGCATTTTTTCCTCTTCTTACACCTTACATCTTAAAGTAGTTTACTTTTTGAATTTAATTTAATCTTTTGGTGGTGGTAGTGGGATTTGAACTCAGGTCCTTATGCTTGCTAGGCAAGCAGTCTGTCCCTTGAGCCATTGCTCCATCCCTTTTCAGTTTAGTTATTTTTGCAGTAGGGTCTTGTGTTTTTGCTCTGGCTGGCCTGCCATCCTCCAACTAAGTGCTCTCCACCACATTTAGTTTATTGCTAGAAATGGGGTCTCACTAACTTTGCCTGATTCGGATTCAAACTGTGATCCTCCCAATCTTCGTCTCCTGGGTAGCTGGGGTTACAGGCGTGAGCCACCATGTCCCGCCTTCTTCCTTTTATTTTTTTATAGGGGTACTATGGTTTGAACTCAGGGCTTTGCGCTTGCTAGGCAGGCACTCTACTGCTTGAACCATGTCTCCAGCCCTTTTTCTCTGTTTATTTTGGAGATAGGGTCTTGCTGCCCAAGCAGATCTGGACTGCAGTTCACCTATATCATGCTTTTTTCTCATCACTGGGATAACAGGCACGCGCCCCACACCAGCTTTTTTTGTGTGTGTTGAGATAGGGCTGTAGTTGTGCAAACATTTTTGGCCAGTGTTGGTGTGGAACCACAGTCTTTTGGATTTCAGCTGAGGAGCTTGGGATGACAGGTGTGTGCCACTGCATCCAGCTATTGGTTGAGATGGTGCTTTGTGAACTGTGTGCTGGGGCTTCTCTGGAACCTTGGTCCTTCTGATCTCAGCCTCCCAAGTAGCTGGAATTTACAAGCATGAGCCGCTGGTGTCTGCCTCCCCCGACCTGCTCTTGTTTTTTTTTTTTTTTTATAAAGACAAGTTCTTGCTGCATAGACCCAGCTGCTGTTGAACTTATTATCCTCTTGCCTCAGCCTTGCTGGGTTAACAGACATGTGCCTCCACACTTGGTTGATAATCTCCTTTTGAGTAGACCAGGTTTTAAATATTTTTTCCACCCAGGTGTATAAGCAAGAATTTTTTGCTATTGCCAAGACCAGGTGGTAGTTTCTATAATCCCCCTTTCAGGGTTAGAGCAGCATTTGCAATGTCCTGACCTTTAGTCTGTTTTGGATCTGACTGAGTGGTTTGAGGTGATGCTTCTTGTTAACTACGTAGGTGTTAAATTGCAGTGTCTGGTCTCTGGAGCCCGCCTGTCCTGTCAGGCCCCTATTTCTCAGCTTGAGCTTACTGTGCTGATTAAGCTTTCTCTCTTTGTTCTGGTTTATAATGTTACTGTTTGTTCTTTTGAGTATTCCTTTCCTTTTTCCTTACATTTTATTTAGCACTTCTACTGTGTTTATGGTAGGAGTTAGTGTTTATTTCCTGTTGGTTTCATCTTATGACTTCAGTTTTATTTTTATATTTCAAATGCCTTGCTTTATCTGTCCTCTTCTGTTTTCCCATATTAAAAGTGCTGCAGTTGAGTTCTCTCTTTTCTGGGGGAGGAGGGGCACTGGGGTTTCAACTCAGAGCCTTCTGCTTGCCAGGTATGTGCTCTGCCACTTGAGTCACATCCCATTCCCAGTTCTCACTCTCTTTTGTTTTTTTTTTGGTACCAGGGCTTGAACTCAGGCCTACACCTTGAACCACTCTACCATCCCCTTTTTTTTGTGAAGGGATTTTTTTGAGCTAGGTTCTTGCGAACTATTTGCATGGGCTGGTATCAAGCTGCAATCCTCCTGATCTCTGCCTCCTGAGTAGCTAGGATTATAGGTGTGTGCTACCATCAGCCAGCACCAGTTCTCATTTTTTAAAAATTGTGTTCTAACCACCTTTTCTGCCTCCAATGTCAATTCATTCCATATTCCAAATGTTTATCAGTGATCAATTTACAATGTAAATGCGATTCTTTTCTTTTTCTAGTACAAAATACATTAATGGCCCTCTATCATTTTTTTTTTTTTTTTGTGGTACTGAGGTTTGAACTCAGGGCCTACACTTTGAGCCACTTTACCAGCCCTTTTTCTTGATAGGTTTTTTTAAAGATAGGGTCTCCAGCTGGCTTCAAACCTCAATTCTATTGCTGTCTGCCTCCTGAGTAGCTAGGATTACAGGTGTGAGCCAACACTACCCAACCCTCTTTGACTTTCAGTTTTTTTTTTTTTTTGTGCTGGGGTTTGAATTCAGGGCCTACACCTTGAGTCACTCCACCAGCCCTTTTTTTGTGATTGGTTTTCTCAAGATCCAGTCTGGTGAACTATTTGCCTGGGGGGCTTTGAATTGTGATCCTCCTGATGTCTGCCTCCTGAGTTGCTAGGATTATTAGGTGTGAGCCACCAGTACCTGGTAACTTTTTTTTTTTTAATCTAGATCCTACATATGAAAGAAAACATGAGATACTTGTCTTTCTGAGTCTGGCTTATGTTGTTTTACATCATGATCTCCAGTTCCATCTATTTTCCTGCAAAAGGCAAAATCTCATTGTTCTTTATGGCTGAATAATACTCCACATTATCCATTCATGTGTTCATAGATATCTGTAGGTTGATTCTATATCTTGGTTATAGTGAAAAGCCTCATGATAAACACAGTTGTGCAGGTATCTTTGTTGTATGCTGATTTAACATTCCTTCAGGTGTATGCCCAGGAAGGTATAGCAAGATCATATGACTGTTCTAGTCTTAGTTTTTTGACAAACCTACATGCTGATTTTTATTGCAAGTGCACTAATTTGCATTCCCACCAACACTGTATTCCTTGCGTCCTCAACAGCATTTGTAGTTGTTGCTTTCTTGATGATAGCCTTTCTGACAGATGAGATGGAATCTCAGTACAGTTTTAATTTGCTCTCTCTGATGGCTAACAATGTTGAACATTTTTTCATTTAGCCTATTATACTTCTTCTGAGAACTCTGTTCATTTGCCCATTTATTGATGGGACTGTTTGTTATGTGGTGTTTAATTTCTTGTTCTTTATGTATTTTGGACATTAATCCCCTGTCAGATGAATAACTGACAATGATTTTTTTCATGTTCTGTTTTTTTATTCTGGCAGTTGTTTCCTTTGCTATGCAGAAGACTTTTAATTTAGTGCTAGGCATCTGTCAATTCTTGTTGCTATTACTTTCTGAGTGATTGAAGTCCTATTCAGAAAGCTATTGGCTATTCCTAGATCTTGAAGTGTTTTTCCATATGTTTTCTGTAGTGGTTTCAAAGTTTCAAGTCTGAATTTAAGGTCTTTGACCCATTTTGAATTGATTTTTGTGCAGGGTGAGAGAAGAATGTGGTTTCTGTCTTCTACAGTGAAGACATTATTTGTTTTCCCAACATTTTTTGTTAAGAAAGACTGCCTTTTCTCCAACATATATTTTTGTCACCTTTACTGGGAATCAGGTGGCTGTCCTGCATGGATTTTATTTCTGAGTCTTCTAGTTTTTTGGTCTTTGTTTCTGTTTTTGTGGGAGTACTGTGCTGTTTTTGATCCTATGGTTTTATAGTATAATTTGAAATCAGGTGTTGTGATACCTCTAGTATTGCTGTTTTTGTTCAGAATTGCTTTGGCTGTTTAGGGTCTTTTGTGCTCCCATATGGATTTTAGGATTTTTTTTTTATGAAGAATGACTTTGGAGTTTTGATGGGAATTGAATTGGATCTGTGTATCACTTTCAGTAATTAAACTGTTTTCACTATTCTGCTGATTCATGATCATGGAAGATGTCTAGTGTCTTCTTCAGTTTGTTAAAATTTTCATTGTAGAGGTCTTTTACCTCCTTGGTTAGGTTTATTCTAGATTTTTTTTTGTTTTTTGAGGTATTGTGGATGAGATTGTTTTCTTAATTTATTTTTTTTCTCAGAATGTTTGTTACTGGTATAGAAAAACTACTGCTTTTTTATGTTGGTTTTGTATGCTGCTACTTCGCTGATAGTGTTCAGTAGACCTAAGAGATTTCTGGTGGAGTCTTCAGAGTCTTTTAAATATAATATCATATGATCAGCAAATAGGGATAATTTGACTTTTCCTTTCCTATTTTTATCCCTTTTACTTCTTTCTCTTCCCTTATTACTCTGGCTAAGAATTCAAGCACTGTACAGAATAAGAATGATGATAGTGGACATGTTGTCTCATTGATAATTTTAGAGAAAATTCTTTCAGTTTTTCCCCATTCAGTGTAGTGTTGGCTAGGGGTTTGCCGTATGTAGTTTTTATTATATTGATAATAAAGGCTGAAAGTGATCTTTCTCTTCCTGGTTTCTTCATGGCTTTTATCATGAAGAGATACTGAATTTTGTCAGATTTTTTTTGCTTATTGAGATGATAATGTGATTTTTGTCCTTGGTTCTGTTATATGGATTGATTTGCATATATTGAGCCATACTTGGATCCCTGGAATGAAACTAACTTATTCATGGTGTATGAACTTTTTAATGTGTTGTTGAATTCAGTTTGCAAGTAGTTTATTAGGGAATTTTATGTCTGTGTTCATCAGTGAAATTGGTCTTTCCTTTTAGTTTTGGTACCAGGATAATACTGGTTTTATGGAATGAGTTTGGTAGTATTTCTTCCCTTGGAATTTTATGGAATAGTTTGAGGAGTATGGATGTTAGTTCATCTTTAATAGTCTGGTAGAATTCAGCAGTGAATCTGTCTGATCCCAGGCTTTTATTTCTTGGAGATTCTTATTACTGCTTCAAGCACCAGTCTTTTTACTAAAGCCTACTGTAGATATTCTCTTATTTCTTTCTTGACTATCATTTAACCTTAACAATTGGATAATTATCTTTTATCAGTAGTATTTATATTGTTTTTCTGTTTCCTTCTATTTGGAAGTTTCAGATAAGTATAGTTCAGTGGTAGAGTACTTCCCTGGCATGAGCAAAGCCCTAGGTTTGAATCCTAGCATTGGAAAAAAAGTATTACATGTTTTTTTTTTTTTTGCAGTACTGGGGGCCTCACACTTACTACACTTACTAGGCAGACACTCTACCACTTGAGCCACTCTACCAGCCCTTTTTTGTGTTGAGTATTTTCAAGATAGGGTCTTGTGAACTATTTGCCCTAGCTGACCTCAAACCTTGATCCTCCTGAGTAACTAGGATTACAGGCATGAGCTACCCTTGCCTGGCACTGTTATAGAATTTGAAGAGATCCTTGCATATTAGAATGTATGAGCATAGTTAAAGAATAATTAATTTTTCTACTTCCTTAGATACATCTAAGCAACATAACCTAGAAAATGGCTGCAGAAGAGACATGGATACCTTGGGAGCTGTGTGTGATCTAGCTAACAGGTAAAATAAATTTGATTTTCTTATTGATTTTCTATATTGATTTTTGTCTCATCTTAAGCCAGTTTCCAAACTTCTATACATAACTTTCCCTTCTTTTCGGTTTTTTAAGGTGGTACTAGGGTTAAACTTAGGGCCTGAAGCTTTCTGGGCAGTGTGCTCTTCTTACCACTTGAGCCACACCCCCTCCCAGCCCAGCTCTTATAATGTCTTCTTAACTAGACAGTATTTTTCTGTTGCATACCCACATTTTAGGAAAAGATTGAACACTTATGATGCATAGGCATGTTTTTCACTGTTTTTTTTTTTTTTTATTTTAAAATTGGAGTTCATGGAAATTTTTTAAGTTAAGTTTGGGATTTTTTGCCCTTTTTTAATGTGTGTCAACCAACCTTTTTTTTCTCCTGGTGGTACTAGGGGTTGAATTCAGGGCCTCCTGCTAGCTAGGCAGGTGTGCTACTTCCAGCCCTTGTGTCAACTTTTTTGAAACTGCTTTGTAACTCTTGACTAAGTCCAAGAGTTTGGGGGACCTTTGAAACTATTTTTGACCTTTTTATTTCTATATTTCTCCTTTATTTACTGAACTTCAAAGATAATACAGTAGAATCTTGAATATATGCTACCTGATCATCCTTGATGTTAGAAAAATTCCAATCTCATGTCTTTCTTTTTAAAAATAATTTATACTTATTATCTGTTATGGATGTATTATAACAGTAGTAAATAAAAATGAAAAAAATGACTAAAATTTCTAACAAATTGTCAGATTTTCTTTCAAGTTTTTTTTTTTTTTTTTGGTGGTACTGGGGTTTGAACTCAGGGCTTTATCCTTGCTAGGCAGGCACGCTACACTTGAGACACTCTGCTAGCCCATTTGCTTTTATTGTTGAGCCAGTGTCATTGTGTTGCTCAGGCTGGCCTTGAATTCACCTACCTCTACCTCAGCCCTACTGAGTACATGGGATTACAAGAGTGTTCCTCCTTATCCAGCTTTTAAGTTTGTTTCTAGAAATTGTACGTACTCATGTGTAAATTTAGTTCTAATTAAAGCATGGATTCTATTTTATGTTCTAAAATAAAAAATTCTCTGCATAATAACTTATTGTAAGTAGTCTTGTGTATGTTCATGTATGTTTAGTCTGTATATTAACTAATTTCCACATAAGGCTTTGTAGCATTACATTTATTTTTAGACTTTAACTCTGTCACAGTGCTAGCATTTCATGGGCCTCAAACTTGACATGGTAAGTGTGTAGAGATTAAGGGCTAAGTCAAGGCTGCTTTAAGGTTGTTTTTGATTGTGATGTTCTCTTTTATAAGGCTCCACAAGAATGGTATTTAAATAGAAACATTTGTTGTCACCTATAGAATCCCATCCTAAAGTGACGTTTACTTATTAATTTACTCAGTCTGTCAAGCAGTTACATACTGTAACTGCTATCCCCTGGGAATAGCCTTTGGGAGACATATAACCTTTGTCTCCCATCTAGTGGTGGCACCTTAACGATATTATTGGCCCATAGATTTGCTAGCTCTGTTTCAGAGGGCTTTTTTTTCCCATAATTTTAATGTAAAGGTTTTGGAAAAAACATTGTATTTTGCTTTTGATACCCATTAATTCTTAATTGAAGCTTGAGCACTTGTAGTGATTTTTCAGTTAGTTTGGAAGATAGGTAAAGATTCCAAAAATGCATGTTTGAAAAAATCTTATTTTTTATATTACCTATGTAGAAAAGCTTTTTTTGTTTTTTGTTTTTTTTTTTGTGGTACTGGGGTTTAAACTCAGGGCCTTGAGCCACTCCACCAGCCTTTTACTTCAAGGGTTTTTTCAAGATAGGGGCTCATGAACTATTTGCCCAGGCTGCCTTTGAACTGCGATCCTCCTGATCTCTGCCTCCTAAGTAGCTAGGATTGCAAGCGTGAGCCACCAGCACTCGGCCTAGAAAAACTTCTTTACCTTTGAATTTAAAAGACCTTTCCAGATCCAGATAAGATAATTACTTTAGGGCCAGGTGTGGCAGCTCATATCTATAATCTCAGCTACTCAGGAGACCCTGTCTCAATAAACAAGCTAGGCATGATGCATGCTTGTAATCCTAGCCAGGCAAGACGCAGGGTGATTGTGGTCCCGGCCAGCTGGGAAAAAGCAAGAGTGTATCTGAATAATAACATAAAGCAAAAAGGGTTGGGGGTATGGCTAAAATCCTGAGTTCAAACTCAGTGCTTCCAAATTTCAAAAAAGTTAAGGTTACCATTTCTATCTAGGTGCTGGTGGCTCATACCTGTAGTCCTAGCTACTCAGGAGTCAGAGATCAGGAGGATCAAGGTTCAAAGTCAACCCAGGCAAATAGTTCACAAGACTCTTGTCTTGTAAAAACCCTTCACAAAAAGTTGCTGGTGGAATGGCTTAAGGTGTAGGCTCTGAGTTCAACACACACACACACACACACACACACACACACACACACACACACACAAAAGTTATTTCTTTTAAGCTTTTTAAAATTTAATCCCTAATTTTATAATTAACATGAAAAGATACATGAGATTTAAATGTTTATGCAAAGGGACAAGGGAATCTAAAAGGTGAAGGAATGTAATACACAGAGCTCTGAGTAACCTCGTGACTTCACTGTTTACGTGCCATGTTTGCTATAGAACAAAATTCAGCATATGAGAACTTGATTTTGGCATGAAATATCAAAGGAATTTTGTTTTTACTGACAGTACTAGGGTTTTGAACTCAGGTTCTCATGCTTGCTAGGCAGCTGCTCTACCGCTTCATCAGCCCTTTTTTATGTTGGGTATTTTCGAGATAGGGTCTTGAGAATTATTTTCTTGGCTTCAAACCATGATCCTCCTGATCTCTGCCTCCTGAGTAGCTAGGACTATAGGCGTGAGCCACTGGTACCTGCCTGTTTTTTTGTGACTAGGTCTTGCTATGTAATCCAGGTTGGTTTCAAATTGAGATCCTACTGCCTCAGCCTCTGGAATGCTGGGTTTACAAGTGTGCACTGCCATGCCTGGCTGAAAGAATTTTAAAATGTCTGCTACAGTGCAATTCTGTGACTTGGATCCTGAGGACAATTCTAGTTAATTGAATTTATTTTTAAGCTGTATTCAAGTTTTTCAGTGTTCATTAAACCATTTAACCCTTTTAGGAAATATTATTGACTTAAAAATATATATATAGCAAGTAAGTAAAATGTTTATAATTGGGAGGCTGATACACAAATTGGGCTGAAATACTGCTCTAATTGTCACCATACCTCCCTAGAATAAAAGCTGCCTTTTGATGACCGGGACGAATTGAGTGAAATCGTAACGGACAGATACGGGGCAGACAGTTTCTTTAGACTATTCAGATACATCAAATGAATGAAATTTTTTCTTGCGTATAACTTGGGTTTGCTGTCTTTTTTTTCTTTTAGCTCTGACTCTTTCCGATTGCAGCCAGCTTCATCATCAGATAGAAAAAGTGTCTCACTACTTGAAAAGGTATATTCTAAAGCAATTTTCAATTCTGGTGATAATAAATTATGATAAAATATTTATTTTGTTGATATTATAGCTTAGTTAAGTTTAAGTTTTATTTTCACATTTCCCACTACTTGTACATTTTGTTCTATTTCTTTTTTTTTTTTTGGATGGAGGCACTAAAGTTTGAACTTGGCCACTAAGTGCTCGTACTGAATGAGCCACTCCCATTCCTTAGCCCTTTTTTGTGATTTTTTTTTTTTCTTTCCTTTTTCTTTTTTTTTTTTTTTAATGTGATGGATTTTTTTTTTAGATGGGGTCTCACAAACTATTTGTCTAAGACTGGTCTCAAACTGTGATCCTCCTGAGTTGATAGGATTACAGGTGCAAGTTGCCAGCACTCAGCTTCTGTTTCTGTTTATACAATCTCTCTTGCTAAGTGGGAATATTATAATTTGGTGGGGGGCAATACGGGGGTGTTGAACTCAGGGCCTTATGCTTGCTAGGCAGATGCTCTACCACTTGAACCATTCCACCAGCCCAAAATAAGTTCAGGTTTTTTGTTTTTGTTTTTGTTTTTTGGCGGTACTGGGATTTAAACTCAGTACCTCACACTTGCTAGGTAGGTGCTCTACCACTTGCGCTACTCCACTAGCCCTAGAATTCTTTTTCTCTGCCATTGAACATGCAATTTCACAATAATATTAGCAACTTTTTGCTGTGTGTGGTGTAACATGCATGTAATCTCAGTGCTCAGGAGGCTGAGGTACAAGGATTTTGTTTGTCTCAACAAGCAAACAACCACACTTTTTACCTATGAACCTCTAAAGAAGAGATTTTTCAGCATCAGTCATGATTATTAAAGTTTTAACATCATATATCTTTTCTTCAGGAATCAAAGATGAGAACTCCCAAAGTGAAAAATGAAATGATTTCTGAGAAAAGACCTGAGTTTGAAGTGGGCGTCTCTTTATCAGATATTGCAAAGAACAGTGCATTTGAACAGTCTGTGCCAGCCAAAAAGAGTGATCCATTCCAGACAGAACAAGATCATTTGGTAGAAGAGGTTAGAAAAAGATTCTTACTACATATACTTAAATATCTGGCATTTCCTAAATGTTATTTGGATCTGAAGTGAAATATAGTTAATTATTGAGTAACTGGGGTAATTTGAGGTAAAGGTAGTCCCAGATAATAAAAATCACTGTTAAGGCAAAATTGTTCTTTCTAAAAAGTAGAAATAAATGTCATATAAGCTTATTTAGTTAACATTATATCCATGATTTAGAATCTACTTCCTATTCTACAAACATTATCCAAAAGTATAAAAATAATGATATTTTGGGGATTAATCATTGCATAAAGTTTTAGGTAAATGTACCCAATGACTATAGTTATTTAAATACTTTGTCAGTGTTTTGTATTTCTTAGCTTCCTTTTATTTTGAATATAACAAACAGTGCAGTATTATCACCACATGAAAGTTTTGTTGTTTTTGCTTTATAAATAAAAAATGATTAAATGCATTGCTGCTCGTGAACTTGATTTTCTTAACTAGCCCTGTCTCTTAATGCTGTTCTGGTTTTCACTAGTAAGTGACCACAAAATGCTACTATTTCTCAGTACTACAGAACTCAGTTTATACAGACTAAATACTCAAGCTATTCACCGATGTTATTTTTATTATGTTTTCCACAGTATCCCTTATCATTTGAATTTGGTTAAGCAGTCAGAAAACATCATTTACTTTTTGTCCCCAAGTGACTTAAAGAATATTTTGGGTTAGAGCATATTAATTAGGTTTCCTTCTTTATTCCAATCTTGATCAAACTGAATGAGCATCTTCCAAATAGAAGAGAACTGGATGCAGTCATTTTTCTTGTTTTGGTCTCTAAATACTTCTGACGTTTTTTTGTTTCTTTTTATTGACTATACTAAAGAAAAGATAGTCATTCATGGACTGAAAAGCACAGAGAGACAGAGATGGCTCATTGTTAGTATTTTTATTTAGGAGAAGAAACCTGTGGAGGGGGTCTCCAGCAAGAGAGCTGGGGCTCACTGCTGCTTACAGATGAGGGGTTTTATAGGAAAAGAAGGACCTGGTAAAAGGTGGGGGAAATTTTTCCTATTGTGGTTTGTCCATTGTCTGTTGCTAGGGTAGTCAAGGAACTGGGTTTGTGTTCTGGTACAGGTGCTGGGAAATAGAACATTTCAGGCACAGACCAATTGCAAAAATAGGATGCTGCTGGGGGTAGTCAAGGAGTTAGTCTTATATTCTGGCATCTGTGTTTCCCTTGGGAGCCCATTTCTACCAGAGCCAAACAACTCTAGGGTCAAGCAGAGTTTAAGATGGTATAAGTGATGTCAAATTGAGACCTAATAATAAGTCTTCTTTTCTTTTCTATTTGTGGAAGACAAGGCACATTTTTTGAGCAATAGAATTTAGATTAGCAGTAGAACATGATGTGCTAGAAGTGGAGAGTCCTAGAATCTCATAAAGAAAGGTAGTGAACTTAATTTTCTCAATAGTGTTTTTAACAAGGGATATTTAGCGTTTTAGTTCCAAGAAGCCTTTTGTTTTTACTTGAACCAATTTTATTATGGTTTCAGGAAGATTCCTTTTTAGCATTCTCCAGGCAGAGATTTTAATTTGCATATTTTTTGTTTTCCAGTTTGTTGGCATTTAGTTAAATAGAGCTATTTTCATATTGTGTATTTTCTTTTTTTTTCATTAATTTATACCTGATAATGAGGTCTCTGGCAAAGAAGTATATTGTCAGAATGTGTTCTTTTTGCTAATAGAGGTGTAACTGCAGATGGACTATAAAAAGAATCTGCCTGCTTTAAAATAGTCATTTTAGTGGATACAGAGTTGTCAAACCCAAAGATGTGGCAGACAGCAGCTTAGGTCACTGAAGTCAAAGTGCCCCTGAATTTTCCTAACTTAACTATAAAAATTCTTTCCTTTATAATAGGTTATCCATTTAAAATAACAAAAAGTTTTGTATTCTATCTTATTGTACATTATTGTATCTAGATAGTCATCAGGAATATCTGGGAATTTCATTGTTGGTTATTTTTGTGCTATCTCTATGGTAGGAGCTACTGTGAAATGTTCATTGTTCTTACCAGAGTTATTGTTGCATTCTGCCAATGGGCTTGGTAACTTTTTATTTTTTCTTTTCTGTTTCAGGTTGCCAGGGTAGTTTTATCTGAGTCACCACAAGTCTCTGGAGGAAAAGAAGTAAAATTAGAAGAACTAATTGACTCTCTAGTTTCTAACCCCTTCTTAACAAGGAGTCAAATTCCCCGAACTCCAGAAACCTTGAGTAAGTTAACAATGCTTCCTTCTTCTAGTTCCCCTTTCTTAGGCATTACCACTATTGGCCATGTTAGGAGAGATCTGTTGGAAACTTATTTTAAAACTCTTCTGTGTCTTTCAGTTTAGTTGGCGGTGCCTCTTTATTTGTTATGATGTAAGGGGGCTATACAGAAGCATTCAGTATGGGCACTCTCACATAGCAGTCGCTTATCAGTATTATTTTGTGGCTGTAAGCATAATTATGTAGTATAATCAGCCCTGATACCACAATTTTATTTTTATTGTGTTATTTGGCTTTTTTTGTGGAAAGTATCTTACTTGATCACTTAACAATTTTTTTTTTCTTGGCCTTCATATCTGCCTTGGATCACATTTAGAGAGCATGAAGGCTGTGTTCTTCTAGTCAGAAGCCAGAAGCATCAGCTGAAACTGCAGATCTTTATCCCTTCCCAAATAATCAGAATGCCACATATTTTTTTTTCCTGTGACCAATAATTTGTGTAGGCAAAGTTCTGATACAGGTTTCCTCATGTAATCAACACGGAGCATCCTGGCTGGCTGATTAAATACAATTTCTCTCTTGCTGCTGATTTAATTTAGGTTAAGCTGAGACAGCTTAGATCAGTGGTCAACAACCTGTGAGCTAAATTTGGTCCTGCCCTGTGCTTTTTATCAATAAAATTGTATTGAACACAGCCTTGTTCATTCTTCAACACATTTCTTAGAGCTACTTCCATGCTATGATGGCTGAGTTCAGCAGTTGTGATAGTTTAGATGGGTACTATACAGGAAAAGTTTGCCAAGCTTTGGCCTAGATGGACAAGAAAATGTCCTTTTAATATATGTTAATTGACATATGTTACATAAAAGTACATGCACATTTCAGGAACAGCTTTTGTTATATGGACGTAGAGTTTCTGATGTTGGGGTTTGTTATATTGAGAAGCCATTCAGTATATTTAATATATATCAACTGAGTCAGTAGGTTTATTTTCAGCACCAGAAGTAAAACATTTAACTTGCATGCTCTGTGTTTGGAAATATTTGTAAATTATTATTTTTTTCTCCCTTTAATTAGTAACTGAAATTAGGAGCTCATGGAGAAAAGCAATTGAAGTTGAAGATAATAGAAGTACAGAACCAGATCAAGAGGATGCTGAACATAGAGAAGTATTATCAAAATCTTCACCTGTATTGTGTAATAAAAGGGAATTTAGCATGGCCAGTTTTTTCTCAGATTTTGGCAAGTCTCATTTGCCTGAAGAGAAAGTTGTTTTAGATTGCCTCAAGGGTGTACCTCAGAAACATGTGGTGACCAGTCCTATAGGTGAAACCCCAAAAGAAAATCAGTCAGATTTGTTAAATAAGAAAATAATTAGTAAGCAAGATTTAGAATATACACCTTTACCAACCAAGCTTTCAGAAACTAGCCAAATAGAAACATTCTCCCCTGCTGTAGGCAGTAGAACAGATGTGAAGGGTAGAAATGAAGAGGAGTATATTAAACTATTAGATCACTCACATACTTCTTATAATGAACCTTTTATGCATAAAACTATGTTATGGGACTCTTTTCAGATACCAAGTAAAATTAGTTCTAAGAATCTTAAGGATATGGATTTGAGCATTTTGCATGAAACTCTTCCAGAAATTGGTCACCTAAGTCTTAATAGCTCTAGGAGTTCTGAGATCAATTTTAAACTGGAACCAAATAGTTCTATGTACAGCAGCATTTTTCCAGATGATGTGGAAAAAGTGCAGACTACCCCAGAACCAGACTTCAACTTACAGGTTATTCGCAGTCATTATGAGGCCCTAAAGAAATCTCTTTCCAAAATAAGGGAAGAATCTTACCTCTCTAATCCTGAAACACTTGAAAGACACAAACTAGAACTGATTCATACATCCAAAAACATGCAAGAAGATGATATGCTTAGCTTTTTGGACGCTGAGGATTTACTCATTGACTGTACAAAGCCATCTTTACACATGTCCCTCGATGAAAAAAAAGTCCTAAAACTGAATTGCTTTTGTAATATAAACTACTGAAAATAAATCTCAATGAAATCTTCTTGTCTAATGGAAAATGATTTAAAAACTTTGAGAAACACAGGGCCAAGGGTAGTGGTGCACATCTGTAACCCCAGCTACTTGGCTGGGCCTGGGTATAAAAAGAGAGGCTATATCTGAAAAATAACTAAAATAAAGTAAAAAAAAAAAAAAACCCACAAAACTTTTAAATACACTTTTGTGGTAGTATAATATCTGGGATTTGCTGTGAAATAAATTTGGTGTGGTGGAAGGGGGAAGTAGAAAGAAAGCAAAGTTGGTCACTGTATTAGTTTCTTCCTAGGGCTGACATAACAAAGTACCACCAATAGTGTGATTTGAAATTTATCATCTGTAGAGACATTAGGTTTTAGAGACTCGAAGTTCAAGATTGAGGTATTGGCTGGGCCATGTTCCTTCTGAAACCAGTATTGGAGGATCCTTCCTTGCCTGCTCTAGCCTTTGGTATCCCCAATCTTCTTTGGCTTCTAGGAGCATAATTGTCTTTACCTCTGTCTTCACGTGGCTTTCCTCCCTGTGTATCTGCCTCTTTTTTGTAAGTCATAGTAGTTACCACCCTACTCATCCTAGCTAATTGTATCTTTATGACTATCTTTCCAAATAAAGTCACATCCTGAGATACTGGGGTTAGATTTTCAACATACCTTTTGGGGGACACAATTCAACTCATAATGGCATTAATAATTACTGAAACCAAGTGGTTAGACATATTGGATTAATTGTAATTCTCTTTGCTTTCATGTTTGAACATTTTTATCATAAAGTGTTTTAAAATTACTCATGTTAGGACAGGTTTGAATCTGGTGAGATATTGATTACAACACTTTGATTTGCCCATGATAATTAAATACTGGTATTTTGAAAAGTATTCTAGGAGGAATGTATTGATCTCTGGATAAAAGGTACTTCGGTGAGAAAAATAGTAACTTTATCATAGTTTTGAGTATTTGCATAAATGTGGATCTTTTTAAAATTAACAAACTTGCTAGTAGGAATCTTTCCTATTATTTATTTTTCTTTGTAATGTTTTTCTTTTTTAAAATCAATTTTGCAGAAGAAAATCTTGAATAAGAGCCTTGATGCAAAGGAATCTCTGACTTGACAAATGAAGCAGGTACCCAGCTAACTTACAACGATGCACTTAACTTGAAGCTGTGTCACAGAATAGAAGCCGACATATAAGTTAAATACATGTTGGAACTGAAATGCTTGTTTTCCAAGGTCTAAAAAAATCCTAATGTGCTTTAGCTTCTTGTAATGTTTTTAGGTAAGGGAAATATGTTTGGAGTTTTTCTTTGTAGAGCTATCAGGTTGAAATGTGAAGTATTTGGGAAGCAGATGTTAAGTTATAGAAAGTTTGATTTCTTGAATAATCTTGTAAGCAATAAATGACAAAAGTGGTAGTTTATTATAATTTCAGTAAATGAACATAAGAATGAGTAGTTCAAATGTACTTCCACTAAGTGGTTAATAGCAGCTGAAGCTGGACGCCGGTGGCTCATACCTATAACCCTAGCTGTTCAGGAGGCAGAGATCAGGAGATCCTGGTTTGAAGCCAGCCCATAGGCAAATAGTTCCTTGAGACCCCTGTCTTGAAAAAACCCTTCACACAAAAGGGTTGGAGGAGTGGCTCAAGGTACAGGCCATGAGTTCAAACCTCAGTACCACAAAAAAAAAAAAAAAAAAAAAGCCACTGTTTCTCTTCATCTTTCATTTTAGAATTAAACCACTTTTATTGGATCTTTATGGGACATTCTGGTACTAATCAAAGGAAGTAGTACCTTGGAATGTGTTGTAAAGACAGATTTTTAAGTTTTGGAAAGCTCTATTCAGGCCTAATGATTATTCAAGTATATTGATCCTGAGAAGTGATGGTTGATGGAAAAAAATGCATGTGATGATAAGTGAAAACTAGGACAGAAGGAATTTAGATGATGGAAGAAAGTGACTAGACATTTAATGAGCACTGTCAAACTAAATCCATTTAGTGGGTTGTAAACATTTATATTTAGTCTAATTTAGACTGAGAATTTAATTCTAGTTTATATTTTAACAAAAATATAAATTAAAAGATTCATTAGTCTGTTTTATTGTTGGTTTTTTTGGGGTGGACATGGGTACTGTTTTGGGGAAAGCAGCTAGTTTTTTTTTTTGGGGGGGGAATTGGGGTTTGAACTCAGGGCTTCACACTTGGAAAGCAGGCATTCTACCACTTGAGCCATGCTCCCAGTCTGGGAAAGCAACTAGTTTTGATTGTGTTTCTGTACTGTTCAAAAACCATTAAAGTTCTCCAGTGCCTACACAATATTCCAAAATAACTTGAGAAAACTGAACTTTGAGTTATGTAAGTAATAACATTCATATGGTCTCCTGCTTCACTTGTTTCGGGTCCCTGGCCCAGAAATGCTCTTGTCCATTACCTCTGTGAATCAGGAGGACTAGAACAGGCACAAGAACGATCGCCTTCAGTATCCTCTGTATAGCCCCAGTTCCTAACAGTCAAAATCTTGTCCACTAGCCCCTAAGAAACTGACGAGGGGTAGAAAAAGTTGGAGGGGTGAGTTCTGGAAGTAGTAAATGGACTTAATGTTTATCTCTCTTATTTCGGGCTGCCTTTTTCTAAGTTGTTTGTCCTGTTCCCAGTTTGAAGAACAGTCTTTTTGTGAGCAAAGACAGAAGAAAGGACATTTAAAGTACTTTCTTTGCAGTGGAAAGCAAAGGAAGGGAAAAGCTTCTAAGGTGTTATGTTCCTTTATTAGTTAATACAACAAATTAAAGACTGTAGTTCTGCGTGGAAACCATTCTCTGTTCTGCTTTATAGATGTTAGGGAGAAGGTAGGGTTATCATATTGGCATCTGCAAAGTGCCAGGGCCATTGTTAGATAATGCATATTACATTAATTACAGCCGTAAGATAGCAGTTATACCCACAGTACAGATTTTGATACTGAAGTCAGGGAATCTACATGAGTTAAGTGTGACTCAAGGACATGAGTTTATCTGAGAATGCATCTTTTAAAAGTGCAAGTCTAAGGGCTGGGGATGTAGCTTAGCGGTGGGGTGCTTATCTAGTATGCACAAGACCTGGCTTTGTTCCCAGCCACTGCAAGAAAAAAAAAACAGGTCTAAAATAGTGATCAGAAATCTGTATTTTTTAATATAATTCTTTGTAATTCACAAGCTCAGTAAAAAAGTCTGAGTACTGTTGGTAAGGATAGAGATTCACATTTAAGAAGCAGGTACACTATTGCCTGTATGTTGCTTTAGAGATAGTTAACTGACAGGGAAGCTGAGGTTAACCAATAAAGTGTGGGATGTCCACAATTACTGAGAATCCAAAGATCAAATGTCTTTCTGTGAATTTATAAAAGTCATACTGAAATCTGGGAATGGTGGGGCACACTTGTAATCCCAGCTACTTGGGAGGTGGAGGCAGGATCTTTATCTAGGTCAGCACGGGCAAAGTTGGTGAGACCCCATCAAAAACAAAATACAGGTGGGCGAGGCTTGCACCTGTAATCCTAGCTACTCGGGAGGCTAGGAACAGGCCTCCTGCAATCAGGAGGATCGCAGTTTGAAGCCAGCCCGGCAAATAATTCAAGAGACCCTATCTCAAAAACCCTATCACAAAATAATTGGGCTGGTGGAGTGGCTCAAGGTGAAGGCCCTGAGTTCATGCCTCAATACCACACACACAAAAGCAAACAAAAAGAAAACTACAAACCAGGGGCCTGGGGCATGGCCCAAGTGGTAGAGTGCTTGCCCTAGAGGGCTGGAAGCGCGGTTCAATCCCTTGGGGAGATCATATCGAGATTTATATGTGTAGGCTGAAAGTTCCTGACTTTCTTGTCCTTCCTGTGTCAGTCCCATGAACAAAATCTCAAATTTATTATTTCTCCAAAACCACTGTGATTGTAACCTGTTTCCTTCAGCTTCTTCCCTGTCCATTATTTCTTGCACAGTTGCCTTTTGATCATAAAGAACTCCCTTGCATAAATGCCAATCACAAATGGTTTAATCCTAGAATAGAGTTCAAATTTCAAGGCATGTGAAGTCTCCTACATGGATTTCATCCGTTTTCCTTTCCATCATGATCTCCTGTCATTTCAGTGAGCCATGGGCCTTTAAAAAGCTTGATCCACAATTCTGGCAGTACTGGGGTTTAAACTCAGGGCCTTGTGCTTGCCAGGCAGGGGCTCTGCCACTTGAGCCACATCCCCAGCTCTTGATTCACAATTTTAACCTGAAATTCTGATCTTCCCTTTCTGGCTTATCACAGTTATAGCTCTCTTAAGACTCAGAGCAAGTCTCATTTCTACCATGAAGTCTTTGTCCTTTCCATATCCCTGTGCCTATCCATTTTTTGAAATCTATGGTTTATCTTAACTTTTTTACTCATTTGGTATTTCATTAATTGCTTTTATTATTTTTTCATGGTCGTATGTAATCTCTCATTATGCCAGGATATACATTCATACCTTCCTGCCTATATAGGTGTGAGGTATATATATATGCATCCACACATACCCCAGGGCCATGTGTCATTGTTGGCAAATATTTAAGTATTGGAATTTTGTTTGCCTCCTACATGTTGGGAGTAAAAGTCGAGGTAATGAGGGCTTACGGCTGTAGATGTATTTTTTGGTCATTCATATCAGGTTACATAGAATATACCTTGTTTTGTTCACTCTAAGACATAAAGGTGTATAAACTGACTTCTACATCAAACTGAAACTGTACATGATTGTGGTGCTGGGGTTCAAACCTGGGGTGTCATGAGTGCTGAACAAGCACTCTGCCACTGAGCTACACTCTCAGCCCCTACTTACTTATTTGCAGGGCCTTGTGCGTGCTGTGCAAGCACTGTAACTGAGCTACATCCCAGATCTACCCCTCATTATTTTAAGTGCTTAAAGAGGAGAGTCCTGTTGCTGAGCATGAAAAAAAATACTATCAAGTAGAATAAAGAAAATTCAAGAAAAACATTTGGGGAGGGAATTAAATGGAAAACAAAAATACATTGAGTTTGCTGGACACTGGTGATTCATGCCTGTAATCCTACACTTGGGAGGCTGAGATGGGGAGGATAGTGGTTTGAGGCCAGCTTAAGAACCTAGCTCAAAAAAAAAAAAATCACAAAAAAGGGCTGGCGAAGTGGCTCTAGGTGTATGCCCTGCGGTCAAACCCCACGATTGCCCAAAAAACAGGAAATTTTGAAACCTTTCTTTACCATATGTTTCTTAGCCATAAACTATGAAGTCAGTTTTAGCTAAAGACAGGAATTCTTGACAGCTATATGAAAAACCCTGTTTTCCCTACTTTGAGTGTGCTAAAATTGAAGAAAATGTTTAAGGATATTTTGTTTAAAGAAAGTATTTGCTAAAATAAAATTCTCCTTTGCATTAAGTTCAGATACCATAGTTGCTCTAAAGAACTTTTTTTTCCTTATGCACTGTGAACTGGTGGCAAGTTCATACTCTAAATTTAAAATATTTGTAAATGTTGGGCTGAGGCCTGACTCAAGTGGTGAAGTAGTGCCTGCCTAGCAAGTCTGATGCCCTGTGAGTCTGGTGTGGGACTATTTGTAAGTATTTTCTACATACTATTGTCTAGAATAAATATTCAATATTATACCATCTGTCTCTGGAATTTCCTATATCAAAAAGAACTGTGTCATGCAAACTATGAAATGATCACATACAAAGGTATATAACTTGATCAACAAAATAAATTTGAGGTTTAGTGATTCAGGTAAGAGTATTTTGTCACTGCCATTTTAAATAATAGAATTTCATGGAGTTTAACTTGTTTTTTAAAAATGATTTTTAAAAGTATACCTGTGCCACTAATTTATTGTCAGTGGCCTTAATTAGATTTTTATATCTTACACATTATTTTTGAGACAGGGTCTTGCTATGTAACACAGGCTAGCCCCAAAATCTTCCTCCTGCTTCATTCTCTAAAGTGCTGGAATTAAGGCATGTGCCACCACATCCGGCTTATACCTTACATGTTAATAATTTCTCGCTCTTCGTGGGTAGGGACTGTCACACTTGTTTCTAAGAGAGGGTTTAATAAATGTTCAAATAATTTTATAAAGCCTGAAATTATAAAGCCCTACCATTTTTATGTACTCTCTGTACAAAGATATTGCCTCATCTGTAAAACGAAAGGCTTGCAGTTGTTCAGAGGTCTCTTAGCTCTAAAATACTTAGACTTCATCTAAAATAATCTATAAGATAGCTATTACTGCAACTGGGATGGGACAGTTTAGATTTTCTGATTTCAGTATACCACATTGGCAAGGCAGATTAGGAACCTCAGTAATTCCCTGAAAAAGTAGGTAATCTAAGAATCTGTTCAATATTGTCCAATTTCCAAATAAATACAAATAGGGTAACGATCTTGCCCAATTTGACTGAAATATTCCTTGAGGTCTCTTAGCTTCCTGGACTTTGGCTTCCTTAGTATGCAAATTTGGATTATATGAAGATATGATCAACCTAAAAAGCTAGGGTTTCTATGATTAACTTTTCTGTCAGTGGAGGAAGTAATGGGGTGTAATGGTTAGGGGA